TCATTTTTGAGAAAGACTCGATACTCGAGGGTGAAGGGCGCCGTGCGCTCCTCACTGCTGAAGCCGCTCATCCTGCCGGAGACCAGCTGCCGCCACAGCTACTGCTACAGAGCCACAAGTCCGCATGCAGCACCGAATGACAAGAAGTGAGCTCCGGGCCTGCGCACTGTGGAGACTGGCACGGGCACGTTTAGTTTTTAAAGAAACAACCAAAATGTTTTCCTGAGGGGCTGTACCGTCTGACATTCCCACATCCCAGCATTTTTCATTTTGACACCTGGTAGAGACGATGCTGCGGAGCCCCTGACTGTGTCTGAGCCCGAGTGCACCTCAGATCCCACTGCAGGAGTCGGAGCCGGGAGGAAACTGGCACAGCGGCCCTGGGTCCTGGGCGCCCACATCAGCAGGCCGGCCATCATCCCCTGCTGGGGCAACAGGCTGGACGGAGCACAGGTCATTTCAGAGCTGCAGGTGCAGCTTCGAAGGTAGAATCTTCTGGAAGAAGACTATTCAGGTGTCCTGGCCTTGGGCAGATGCACTGACAGGGCTCATGGCCAGAATTTTGCAGACTATTCGTGGACATGCCTTTTGCTGGTACGGCCACCTTGAATCAAAGGGCCCTTCTTAGGATCCCACCTCACTTCTTGCTAAAACGTCCTCCCCCTGTCTTTTCTCCCCAGGCGCCCACCAGTGACCCCCAGAAGGGACCAGTGAAGCAGAGGCTTGACTGAGGAGGAAGTTACAGAGCAGGGGGCCACTGGGCTCGGAGCTCCACAAAAGGCCCCCCAAGGAGGATACAAGGGAGACGGCACAGCAGGGATAGAGCGCGCCAGGGTGGGCTGGACCCTGTGTCTGGCTCTGGTCCAGGGTGCGGGCGGCACACACCCTGGACCACTGTTGCACTGGGGCTGAAGGCAGAGGGGCAGAACCTGGTGGGGAAGGGGCGACGCCCCCTCCCTCTCTGTGGTCCGGCTCCTGGCAGCTCAGGAGTGCTCTCTGGGGAGCCAGAAGCCAGGGAAGGACCTCTGAGTCTTGGGGTGCGCGCAGGCTTGGGGGACCCAGGGAGCTCCGCCCTGAAGTCTGGGACAGCACAAGGAGCTCGAGGCTCACTCGGCGGGAGCGGGAGGTGGTGGCCCCCCCACCCCACCCCACTCCGCCCCGCCCCCGCGGTCTGTCCGACCACCCAACGCGTGGCTCCCTCCTCCCTCCGCTAGCCAGGGGGTCACCGTGAGCCCTCTCCGCTCCCCGCGGCCGCTTTACCGGCAACAGGGGCCTCCCCCGCTCCGGGATTGGATGCGAGAGGACTGGTGGGGGCGGGCGGGAGGACCCCAGGAGCCCAGGTTCCCTGCTCTGGCGGAGAGCAGCCGGCAGCTCAGACGCCACTGCTCCGAGCCTGGAAGAACCTCCGCGCCGACCTGGAGCGCTCCGGCGGGCGGCGCGGAGGAGGCGGCAGCATTGGCGGCCCGCAGGCGGCAGGCGCACCGCGATGTTTGACAGCTCGCAGTATCCCTACAATTGTTTCAATTACGACGCCGACGACTACCCGGCGGGCAGCTCGGACGAGGAGAAGCGGCTCACGCGGCCGGCGTACAGGTGACCGCGGGGACGGGCCAGGGCCGCAGGGGTCGGGGGCTCTCCTCCGACAGGGTCGCGCGCGGGAGGGCTCACTTCTCATTCGCACGTTAGGAGGTAACCGAGAAGGTTCTCCAGCCTCCCCGGGGAAGCCCCAGGTGTGAGGGTGAGCTTCCCGGGTCTGCGCAGAGCTGCGCTGGGAGCTCCAGGGGGCCCCACTCCAACAACCACCCCCGACCCCAGCTCCCCGGCGCCCCGGGGAAGGCAGCGCGGAGTGGTCCCCTCGCGGGCACGGCCGGCAGGAGACTCCAGACGCAGACGCGCTCCGGGGTCCCTCTCCCTCTCCGGCCCAGCCTGAGCGCCCCTGTTTGCAGCTACATCGCGCTGATCGCCATGGCCATTCAGCAGAGCCCGACGGGCAGGGTGACCCTGTCTGGAATCTACGACTTCATCATGCGCAGGTTCCCGTACTACCGCGCCAACCAGCGCGCCTGGCAGAACTCCATCCGCCACAACCTGTCCCTCAACAGCTGCTTTGTCAAGGTGAGCCCCGCCCTGGGCGGCCCTGAATGTCCCGGGCACCCCTGACTGGGCGGTGGGGGCGCATTTTGCAGCTGCGTGCGCTGGGGAGCTCACGGGTAGCCTTCGCCAGCTCCCCAGCGACTCGCCCACCCCCAGGGCGGGGCATCCTTCCGGGGCCGCCAGGGGCTCCCCGAGTGAGCGCGGTGGGCGGGCCCCCCGGAGAACGCCGGGCGCTGAGCCCCTCGCCCGCGCAGGTGCCACGGACCGACGGCCACGAGAAGGGCAAGGGCAACTACTGGACCTTCGCCGGCGGCTGCGAGCCACTGTTGGACCTTTTCGAGAACGGCAACTTCCGCCGGCGGCGGCGCCGGCGCGGCCCCAAGGGCGCGGAGGCGAGAGGGGCGCGCGGGACAGATGCGGGGGCGCCCCCAGGGCCCCCTGACCCGGCCAGCGCACCGGCGGCCCCAAGCCCCCCCCGCGCACCCCCGACCCCGGCCAGCCCTGCCGTCCTGGGGAGGGAGGCGCACAGGGACATCAAGTTCAGCATTGACTACATCCTCTCCACCCCTGACCCCTTTCTTGGATGCAGGTCGCCCCACGTGCAAGAGGGCAGACACCCCCCGCTGGAGGCCCGCCAGGTGAACCTCCACCTTTGGACCATGTGAGAGGCACTGAGGCGGCTCCCCCTCCAGGGCTGGCACCCGGTCAGTCTGGGGTCTTCGGGGTGATTTCAGTCCACCTGAAGCAAAGGAATGAGGTTCTGCCACACTCCACAAAGTTCACAGACTCAGGCTCAGTGCTGAAACCAGCCTGGGTTGGAGGGAAAGAGGTGACAGGCTGAAAGGCGCTCATTTCCCTGTTGCCCCATTACCCCTTCAGATAAAACCCACCAGTTCCCGTTGGAGGGCTTAAGGGTTTGCTCTTGGCTCACCCAGGGATCTTGCTTGAGGGCTAAGAGCTCACCGTCAGGGTCACGATCACTTAGAGTCAAGGTAATGATGGAGAGGTCGCTTCCTAGACTGCTGCGGGTGAGCTGAGTGTCTGGGGTGAAGTTGGTGGGCGTTTTCTCTGGCTGAAAACAATAAAAACGAAGTGCAGACGGTCAAGTCAGCTATTAATTGATCCTGTGAATGTTGCCCAAGGTTTTTGACTGTGTCCCTGTCATGAATGATGTGACTGGAAGTGACAAGTGCGTCTCGTGTTGTGGGCTGAATATTTGACGGCTGTTTAAAAAATTCTGTGCACTTTTTTTAGACAGGAAAGAAGGAAGGAAGTGGGGGGAGGAAGGGGGGGTGAAGAGCGGAGGCCTTTGGGACAGCACGGGGGCCAAGCACACTTGACTCTCCTGAGCAGGAAGCCCTATTCTGTCACATTCCAAGCGAACATCCCAGAGCAGACGGCTGGCAAATGTCTGCTACACTGTGAGGTGTACGGTTAGGAAGTGCACAATTACAAGCATTGGAGGTGGGTGCATCCATTTGAAATGTAAATGATATAACTACTGGGTAGAGACGGGCAATTAAAAAACACAATTATGCACAGTGAAACTATTTGACCAACCTTATCATTTTTCACCAGCCCATTTTTCGCAGAGCTAATTGTTTTCCGTGACTTAATTTGAACATTAGTATGGATTACACCTAATCTGATTCACTAGGTGACGATGATTGGCTAATTTTGTAAACGGCAAAAACACACCCAAGGAGACTTGCTGTCTCGACTCGGAATTACTGTCTTGCTTTATCGGACTCAGAGAAGCTGGGGCTGGGGTAGATGAAGGAGGCAGGCACGCGGGACTGAATCGGTCAGGAGACACGGTTGCACCCTGATTCAGAAGGTTGGGCATTTCATTAAGTCACAGTATCCCGATTTCATCCGCCCTGTGAATAGAAACACCTTGGGGTCCTTTCATGGTTTTGAGAAGGCGTGTCTGGCCCTGACTCCAGAGGTGGTCACTGGTAGTGATGCCCACTCACGTCACCAATGTGCTCTCAGCCAGCTCAGGCCGCCAACAGGTCAACTGGAGAGGACTGAGGTCACCGTGCCCTCGCAGACACCCACCGGCAGAACTCTCTCCTGGGGGAGCAGCCAGTGTCGGTGGGCTCTCGGGTCGGCCGGGCATGGTGCTGAGCCTCCCCGCGGGCCAGCACCCCAACCCTGATGCCCTCGCTCCATACAGATCAGAGACCTACAGCACAGTGGCCCAGGCCTGGGACTCAAGCTGTAATTCTGGGGTCAGGCTTCCTCCGTGCCGTGGTCACACGTGAGTGTGTGCATGTGTGTGCATGCGTGTGCCTGGTGGGCCTGTGTTGTGTCTGTCTCATTCCTGTTACTTACAGTCTATTGTCAGTTGTGCTGACATCATTTTAAATTATACCAGATATAATTCAGATGGTGATAGGACACAGCTGTTTGCACACACAAGTATACGACATACAGACTATCTGAGGGTATATTTTTCTGCTTCCATCTGAGCAAATAAAGTTTCGTTTCATCTTTCAACTTCTCTTCCTGAGTTTCGTTCCAGTGATCAAGTGGCTGGAGCCAAGGGGCGGCACCAGGCTTTGAGATCTGGGTACTGTAGCATTTGTTTTGCAAAGGGTATCAATCATGTTTTTCGAAGCGATGGGACATTTTCTATTTGCAAGCATGTGACACCCTTCGACTGCAGAAAGGCCCGCAGCCCTCAGAGTGAGTGGCATTTAATCCCCAAGAACACAGCAGGATGAGGGCTGGTCTGACCTATTCAAACGTCGCCTCCACCACGCACACCCGCCTAACACAGTTATAATTAAATACCTTATGCCTCTCTTGCAAATCCACTGATTGATCACCAATACGTACATCACCAGCACATTACCCTGAGCAGATGTCTGCCACACGTGCCACGGATCACCGAGTTTCCATTAGCTGGAGCCAGGGCTGCGCGTGGGAGCTGTGATCGAGCTGCCGTCGTGCGAAGCGCGCTCCCGGGGTGCGGCACCAGCTCGCAGACTGTGGGTGTCGTTGCTCCAAGCAGCCGCCTGGCGAGGGGCCTCCACCAGCGCTGGTGCTACAAGGCGAGGCCCGAACAGCCGAGGTGAGGGCGGGCGCCCCGAGACAACGGCGGGTGGGGGACGGCAGCCCCCCATCCCCAGGGCCCCGATGGCCAAGCCCACATGAGCACACGGATGGCCTCGTCCTGCAGCTCCAGCAGCCCCATGAGCAGAGACGAGCAGACACCCGACTCTGTGAAGCAGGAACAGATAAGGAAACAGGCTCAGCGGCGCCCACCTTCCCCACTGTGGGGTGGCCCAGGCTGCCCGTCTGAGGCGGGATGGCGCCCTCTGGCTGGAAGGATGGAGGCATCACACTCCCGGCCCCCGCCCACTCGAGGCATTCACTAGCATGCGAGCCCTCGGGGCGGGACCTGACCCCCGCCTCCCCGCCCCCAGCAGCCCGGCCTCCCGCCCTCCAAGTCAGGAGGGTCCGCACTGCTCCCTGCCCCGGGGCTCAGCCTGGGGTGCAGCCCCCAGTATCACTTCAAGAGGAGCTCAGGAACGACACAGTCCGTTACCAGTGGCGTGAGTTTGTATTCAGCCAAGTTAACAATCCATAAACACCGGCAAAATTGCTTGCTTTTATCCCATGAAAAACACCAAGTTCGTCTGATGTAAATGGACCTTGCTGTTCTGGAGAAACCAGTTCCCCAGAACCAAAGGCACAGTTGTCGGGCGGCCACTAAGGACAAATTAACTGTCCTCGCGTCCAGGAAATTACGCTTCCCCAGCTTTAGGCAACTTCAGGCCCAGAGTCCAAACAAGATGTAAGCTCACTCAGCTGAAACTCACGGGATTAGATTTATAATAGGCTGAGGGAGGTCTCACGGCTGTGCCATTTTTAACAAGTAGAAACCGGGCGGGAGCACTGGGGGCCCACCGGGCCTGCTCTGCTCCGTGCTGGGCTTGGGCATGGGGATGGGGGGGGGGTCCCTCCCGGGGTCCTGCTGGGCCCTCACACTCGCCTGTCAGGGGGTGGTTCCGGTCCACACCGTTCGCCCAGGAGCCCGGTGCCTCTGGGACGACCAGTGGGTCCCCACCGCCCACCAAGCCCAGCAATCACGCTGCTCGTCCCTGAAGAGGGTTCAGAACCGCTGTCTCTGCAGACGCTCATGGGGCACTCCAGCTGGTGAGGGGCTCCATGTCCATTGGTGCCTTTCGTTGCTTCATACCGGTCTCCGTCCATCCACATGGAGGCAGTGAGCCACGGACCACGCATCCTGGGACCTCGCGGTGCGGGAGACAAGGTGGGAGCAGTGAACCCCAGCACCTGAAAGGCCGGCCCAAGGCTGACGGTCCGGCTCTCAACCCTCTGCGTGCAGGTACCCTGGACAGCTGTGCTGCACTCGGGTGACCGGGACAGGCGGGCCCGCTCCCCCCAAGAGGGAACCCCGCTAGTTCTGGGGCACAGGGCCCCCACTTCACCCATATGCATCTCAGCCAGAGGAGCGACTCAGGAGGAAGACCTGGTGCACCTGGGGGGCTGGGGCAAGGCCTGTCACCCTCCTTGACATAGGTCCAGACAGAGGGCACCAGCGCTGGGACTGCTGTGCCCACCAGGCGCCACAGGAAGTCCTGTCCTCCCTGGGCCCTGAGCATCAGGAGCAGAGAGGGTTCCCCACACGGGGGTGCTCTGCGTGTGTCTGAACGCTAGGCATGCACAGGCCACAGGTGCCTGTTGGCCAAGTGTGCATCTGCGAGCCCTGCTGAGTGTGCATGCGTAGGTGTGAATAGTGTGCACTGTGTGTGCAAAAGTGTGAGCCGAGCATACACCTGTGAGTGCGTGTACTCGGGCAGGTGTGCACCACGAGTGTGCACACACACCAGTGTACATGTGTGAGAGTGCATCACAGCAACACATTGTTTCCAATCCTTTTTGTGCCAAGAAATCTGTGCGAAAGCAAAGGCACCTGGGAGCCCCCAGGTCTGCTGAACGGCTCATCTGTGGAGTGGCTGGTGGGCATCCCACGGGCTCTCTAGTGAGACCCACCTCCAGGAGCCACTCAGCAGGATGCGGTAAGAAGCGCTCTCAGAGGAGGAGTGACTTTAGCTGAAGAACGGGACCAGAGTCCCTGGACGTGAAAGTTAGGACATAAATCAAAGGCAAATGTCAAATGCCTTCTAACACCGATTGAGGCGTAACTTGGGGTGGGGCCGCACGTCAGGCACTTGCTCGTGGAGGCTCAGAGAAATTACATCCGTAATCACCTCCAGATTGCTGGCACCTCACTGCAGACCTAAGCCTCTGTGGTCTCCGAGGTGGGAATGTGTGTCCAGAACTCAGGCCCCACACCCACGGATGCTGAGGACGCCCAGGATGCGGCACAGACACAGGGTCAGACCATGGGAACTTTCCAAACGTCCCCTAGAGAGCGCACACCCTGGGAGCATCTCTGAGGAGCCAGACAGAACACTCAGCAGGCACCGTCCTCCCCAAGCCCTCTAGGCACCTGCTTCCTGCCCTGCCCCGCCCAGGCCTTGGTGCCTCCTGCCCGCCTGTGGCTGCAGCCTCAAGCAGGGCACTCCAAACAGGGCAAACACCCTCCCCCAGGCCGCCCAGCAGCCTCTGAGAGCCAAGATAGGGCCCAGGCCCCGAGCGCCAGGTTGCTGGGCCTCCAGCCCTCACAGCTGCAGAGGACGGCAGGAGGTACACCGTCTATATCATCTCCAAACGAGACAATGCTCACAGCCTGTGTCAAATACTGTTAAACGTAAGCCTTAAAACTACTCTTAGAAATCACAGCCCTGTTTGGCCAGTTATTCTTCATTTCTTAGCATATCTGCAACTGCAGAAAAGAAGGACCTCTTCCCTGTCTCTGCCTCCAGAGACCCTGACTACGTCCTGCTCCCCACCCAGACTGGGAGCCACCAGCTCTCCGAGCTGAGCATGCCTGCCTGCCTGGCTTTCTGCTCTCTGTACAGAACCAAACAGCAGGGCCCCACTTGGGCACCTTCCCCTCTTAGCTTTGCTAACTCATGTTTGTCCTCTGAGATGCAGTGCTCAGGCTGCCTCCTCCAGAAAGCCTTCTCTGACTGCCTTTCCTGTAACCCCTAAATTAACAAAACGTCTTATGTTACACTTTAGCCTGGAAGCTCGCAGTTTTATACTTTACATTGAGTTACAGGCTCCGTCTTGAATGAAGCTCTGGGTACAGCATCAGGAACACGTTACAGCTTATTTTCCCTGTACAGTTGTTTTGGCACCATCAACTCCCTCTCCCCATGGGACTGTATTGGTGTCTTTGTAGGGAATCTGTTGTCCATGTGTAGGTGTATTTCTAAACTCTCGCTGTGGTCCATGGATTTACTCGTCTATTTGGCACCAACAGCCAACTCATTGGAAAAGACCCTGATGCTGGGAAAGGTTGAGGACAAAGGAGAAGGAGGCAGCAGAGGATGAGATGGTTAGATAGCACTGCTGACTCAATGGACATGAATTTGAGCAAACTCCAGGAGCCCCTGGAGGCCAGCAGAGCCTGGCTAGGCCAGGCCTAGCGTGTTGCAGTCTCCAAGACTCAGACATGACTTTGTGACTGGACAGCTGCACTGTATCTACAGCACTAGCCTCACATCACATGGAAAGTGGGGTGTGTTAGCCGCATAAATTTGCTTTTCTTTTTCAAAGTTGGGTGGGCTATTCTAGAGCCTTTGAAATGCCAAATAAATGTGAGAATCAACTTGTGAATTTCCACAAGAAACCTGTTGGGATGGTTTGGGAGTGTGTTGAAGCATAAATCAATTGGGGGAAAACTGACATCTTCACATGTACCTCATGTTTCTGATACTACTGTGAACTGTATTTTTAAATTTTAAATCATTGTTTGTGGGAAGTTTACAGAAATACAATTAATTTTGTATATGGGTCTTATATTCCAAAACCTTGCTAAACTCACTTACTCATTTTTTGTAGTTTCCATCAGATTTTCAACATAGATGACTATGTCCTCTGTGAATAAATTCTGAGTCTTATCTCCTAATTCCCAATCCTTCATTTTCTCGCTTTTTTGCACTGGCTAGAACCTCCATGCAACGTTGAATAGAAATGGCAAGAGTGGGCATCCGTGCCTTGTTCTGATCCCGAGAGGAAAGAATTCCATCTTCCACTATGAAGCATGAACCCAATGTGTGCGTGCGTGCTAAGCTGCTTCAGTCATGTCTGACTCTGTGTGACCCAATGGACCGTAGCCCGCCAGGCTTCTCTGTTCTTGAGATTCCCCAGGCAAGAATACTGGGGTGGATTGCCCTGTCCTCCTCTAGGGGATCTTCATGATCAAACCCACGTCTCTTACATCTAAGCTGCATTAGCAGGCAGGTTCTTTACCTCTGGCGCCACCTGGGAAGCCCTGAATATCCCCCTTAAAACTGAAGTGAAAGTGAAGTCGCTCAGTCGTGTCCGACTCTCTGCGACCCCTGGACTGTAGCCCCCAGGCTCCTCCCTCCATGGGATTCTCCAGGCAAGAGTACTGGAGTGGGTTACCATGTCCTTCTCCAGGAGATCTTCCCGACCCAGGGCCTGAACCCGGGTCTCCCGCACTGCAGGCAGACACTTCACCTTCTGAGCCCCCAGGGAAGCCCGATATCCCCCTTAGTATCGTCTGAATAGTCATAGGTCTGCAGTGGTGTCAGCTCTGTCACTCCCAACATCATCCCATCCCCTGATCTGTCCCCTTAGAGACAGCAGAGAAGGGCCAGTGCCCAGGTTTCCAGGCTTGACTTCTCACCTGGAGGCAGCAGGCGCCCCGCCTGGAGGTGGGGCCTCTTTCGGCTCTCAGCACTGAGGAGAAACCCAAAGCAACCCCAGTCACTCCCCACGTATAACTGATTAAGGACAAGGATTATTTGCCAAAACAGACCCACCAAACGAGAAAAACCCTGACTCCCCTTGTCCAGACCCATCACTTCCGAACTGGCATCCCAGGCCAATGACCAGCTGGGGTGGCCAGTCTCAGCCCAAGCAGCTCCCAGAACAGTCAGGGGTCCCCTGACAGAGGCATGGGTCCAGCTGGATGTACATTGACCCCACCAGTCTGCAGGTCTCTACATGCCGCCACTTTTTATTCTAAACTACATCAAATCTGCTTAAAATGTTTGGGGCTAGAGTAAAAAGCGGCCCCTCCCCCCGCCCCCTTGTGTCTGTTGGCTCCTGGTGACGCTTGCTGAGAAACTGCCACCCAGGGGCTCAGGGTTAGGGTTAGGGTTAGGGGTTAGGGTTAGGGTTGGGGTTAGGGTTAGGGTTAGTGTTAGGGGTTAGGGTTAGGGTTAGGGTTAGGGTTAGGGTTAGGGGTTAGGGTTAGGGTTAGGGGTTAGGGTTAGGGGTTAGGGGTTAGGGTTAGGGGTTAGGGTTAGGGTTAGGGGTTAGGGTTAGGGGTTAGGGTTAGGGTTAGGGGTTAGGGTTAGGGGTTAGGGTTAGGGTTAGGGTTAGGGGTTAGGGTTAGGGTTAGGGGTTAGGGTTAGGGGTTAGGGTTAGGGTTAGGGTTGCGGGTTAGTGTTAGGGTTAGGGTTAGGGATTAGGGTTAGGGTTAGTGGTTAGGGTTAGGGGTTAGGGTTACGGTTAGGGGTTAGGGTTGGTTTAGGGTTAGGGTTAGGTGTTAGGGTTAGGGTTAGGGTTTAGTGTTAGTGTTAGGGGTTAGGGTTAGGGTTAGGTTTAGGGTTAGGGGTTAGGGTTAGGGTTAGGGTTAGGGTTCGCAGGCGCAGAGTAGGGCTGGGCAGGCGGGCCTGGGCTTCAGCCGAGCTGAGCCTGGGAGGCGGGGGGAGGCAGGGGGAGGCCGGGGCCAGGGCTGCTCACTGCGCTGTTTCTGCAGCTCAGACCCCCGGCCGGAAGCTGCTTTCGTGATGTGATGGCCGGAGGGTTGCACGAGGGCAGGCCATCTGTGAGACGTCTGCAGGTATCACGTCCACGGACACCCCGCGTCCACATCCAGTCACAGGGCCGTGTCCCAAGACACAGCCAGGAAGGGCCGGTCCCATGGGAGAAGACAGTGGGAGTTTCTGACAATCGCTTCAGCTCTACCTCTCTCCGCAGTCCCAGACCCCAAAGGCCGCCGCCCTGAGCTACATCATGCACCGCGCCACACACTCCTTTCTCTGGAGACCCAGAGGGGTAATTCTACCCCACCTTTGCTGGGCTTCCCTGGTGACTCAGAAGGTAAAGCATCTGCCTGCAATGCGGGAGACCCAGTTTTGATCCCTGGGTCAGGAAGAACCCCTGGAGAAGGGAATGGCAACCCACTCCATTACTGTTGCCTGGAGAATCCCATGGACAGAGGAGCTTGGTAGGCTATAGTCCATGGGGTCTCAAAGAGTCGGACAAACTGAGCGACTTCACATTTGCTGAACAAATTGGGTCTTGCTGTGCGCACCCCAGGGAGCCATGGTCAGTGTCAGCCAAGCTCAGGGAGGTCCCAGCAGGGTCAGACACACAGCCTCAGACCTGCACCCACATTCCCCGGGCAGTGTGACGGGCCTCCTGCAAAGAGTCTGAGGACTTTGTGGCCACAGGCCCCTCCGTCCAGGTTCTCACGCCGTCCCAGTCCTGCTCCCTGCCTGCTCTAGGGGAGCCCCGCGCCAGGCCCCTGCTCCCCACCCCAGGGAGGGCACATAAGGCCAAGAGGCATTTGAAGGTCACGGGGCCCAGGTCACCGCCCTCTCCTGTCTGCATTACGTGCCAGGGGCTGACGCCCTCCTGCCTCCAGGACATCTGAGCGGGGAGTCCCTCCGGGAGAAGGCTGACGCCCCAGGGGCCCGGGTGACAAAGGTCGGGGAGCCCTGGGAGAGGACACAGGTGTGGCAGGGCGGGCAGCCGGGCCACACTGAGAGCTGCGGGAAGGGGAGCCCCTGCCCCCATGGCCGCCCCTCAGGGACCTTCGGCGGCCTCACCGACCAGACCACTGGTCTCTGCGGGAGACCACTGTGTGCCAAGCACCCCGCAATCTGACGAAAGCCCAGCTAAGTTCAGCCAGACAGTAGAGGCAGTGGGATTTAAAATCTGACCTAAGACTCTACAATAAAAGCACAAATAATTCAATTAAAAAATAGACCAAGGATCTGGACATTTTTTCAAAGGAGATCTATGAATGGCCAAGAAATTAATGAAAGCATGCTCGACTCCTAGGAACAGACCCAAAGGATGGAAAACAAAGTCTCAGACAGATACCTGTGCACAGACGGTCACAGCAGCGCGACCCACACAATCCAAAAGCGGAAATCGCCCGCACCTCCACCAGTGCACGAGCTGGATGAGCACACTGTGCTTCATTCACACAGCGGAACGTTATCGGCCCTGGAAAGCGATGCCACAACATGTGTGAACACACACCAGGAGAAAGAAGCCACAGGCTGTGTCTTGGATGATTCCAGAAGAGGCAGATCCACAGCCACAGACAGCAAACTGGTGGTTGCCGCGGAAGGAAGGAGGGGAGTGTGGGGGTGACGCTTTCTTTTCAAGGTGATGAAAATGTTCTGGAGTTAGATTGTGCTGATGTTTGTTCAATATTGTGAATGTGCTAAAAAACCACTGAATTGTACCCTTTAAAACACTGATTTTTTTTTTTGTCATGTGGATTATATCTTAATTTTAGAATTGCACACACACACCCCCTAAGCTGGGTGAGATCCCTGCTCAGCACCCCAGGCCACAGGAACCGCGAGCGTGTCCCTGGCTGAGCACTAGCTTCCTTGTGCCTGAGACTGGGGTCATAATCCTGACTCACAGGGTTGTTGTGCCAACCCAGTGTGATAAGGCACGGAGTGCCTGGGTCATTGTGTAAACGGATGAGATAATGCGTGAGAGGTGACACGAGCCCCGGCCTGCGGGGCGCACAGAACGCGTCACCTGGCCCCGTGCCCGGCACACCTGCAGCGACTCGGCCCTCACACCTGGGAGGCGGCCCTGAGCCGACCTGCCACAGCCCGCAGCAGCGCCGCCAGCCTTTGAGCCGACCCTGGCTCCGCCAGGTGGCCTTCCCCCGTGCCCTCCTTCCACCCGCTCTGCTCCCGTGAAGGCAGCAAGCGCCCCCCAGCTGCCTGCCCAGTCCAGCCACCATCCAGCCTGCAGCCGGAGCGGGCCCCCAAAATCACACCAGGCCCCCCTTTCCCAGCCCCCTGGCCCCGCCCGGCTCTCCTGAGCCCGGTGTGAAGCTGAGGCCGGGCCCTCAGCCCCTCTCTCTGCCCAACCCTCTGCGCTCAGGCCACAGGCCCCTCGGCCACTCCTGCCCAGGGCTTTCGGACCTCCGTCCGCTCGTCCGCCTGGGACGAGCCCCACTTCTTGTCCCATCCTGTCTCCACTCAGCGTCCTGTCCAGGGGCCTTCCTGGCCACGTCCAAGCCCGCAGCTGCCCAGTGCTCTTTCTCCCTGCACTCCCAGCAGCGCTGTGATGTGTTGTACTCATTACCTTACAGCCGTTTGGCTTCATCCGAAACTCCAGCTAGAATACAGAGCCTACGGAGCAGACCCCGGCCATGCCCCCCAGACCCCAGGACAGCGACCCCGGCTCTTGACAGGAGCCCAGGGAACACATGTCCCGTCTTCCCAGCCGTCCAACGAGGGGTGGCCGGCGGGTGCCCAGCTTCCCTCAGCCCTCCAGGCGCAGCACAGGTGAGCCCGCGGCGCAGGGAGCGGTGTGCCTGTCAGGGACCCCTCCGGGCTCGGAAGCTGAGCCTGGCTAGACTTTGTGGGGAGGGCGAACCCTCTCCACACCGACATCCTGCTAATCGGCCTCAACGTGCCTGAAAATTTGACATCCGCATCCCACGCGAAGGGCGCCCAAGTCTTCCAGACCAGGCCCCGCGGGGGATGCCGGCGCCTCGCCACCAGGGGGCAGCGGAGGGCCAGGGATGGGCCGGCCCGTGGCGCCGGGGGCCGGGGCGGGGCGGGGACGCGGGGTGGGGGACTCCCAGGTCCAGACCCCGCCCCGTGGCCCCGCCCCGCCGAAAGGTGCCTGGGTTTGGGGTCCACGGTCTTCCAGGACCGATTCCCAAAAAGGAACCGGGGCGGCGATGATGGCGCCCAGGATCGGGGGCGGCGGGTGGGCTCTGCGGTCCCGCGGGCCGTCCTGCCTGATGCTCTTGTTCTCCGGACACAGAGAGCCATCTCACCCGGATGGCTGGGGAACAGAGTGGAGTGATCTGATCCAGGCCGGGGGGACCCTCCCCTTCCTCCCAGGACACCCCTGCACCCCTGATCTGACCGGACGGGGAGGGGGTCCTATCGGGCAGCTGCCCATACAACGCCCAGGGGACCACCCTGAGAAGCAGGCTGAGGTCCAAGCGTCCAGCCCATGGGCCCCCCTGCCCCTCCACTCGGCCTTCCCCCGATGCTCTTTCAGGGCCTCTGCGTGAACCTGAAGCCCGACCACTCTCCTGTCTGAGGGCAGTTCTTGCTCAGACCTATGGCTAGGGCTCTCAGCCATGGGGAGGAGGGGCCCCCTTGAAAGGTGGTACCCAGAGCCTCCTTGGAGGGAGTCATAGAGTTTGGAAGTTGGCCCGACTCTTACCTGTCCCACTTGTGTTTTGTACAAAAACAAACATAGATGCCCCCTGGCACAGAACGCAGAATTTCCATGAAATCCTGTTCAAAAAACAGGAATGTGGGAGAAATTTTGAAACTGGGTGGAACTGTTGGAAGGTGTGGCCCCAGATCCCAGCACAGTTCTGGTGTTCTCTGCTTTTAGAGGTGTGCCCATAAATGTTAGAGTCCACGGAAAGTCGCCAGCCACTCACACTGTAGTAAGAGTGAGTGAGAGTGAACTGGCTGGGAGTCTGCAGGGTCCCGGCAGCCGCAGAGCCCCAGCGCACGGCTGTCCCAGCAGTGCCGCGCAAGCCCCAGCTGAGGGGAGGGCCCCATGTCAGGAGGGGGATGCAGGCAGCATCTCATCCGTCTGTCCCGGAGCCCTCCCCGCTCCTGAGCTCTGGACTCTACCTCAGATGACCAGGGGGCATTACAGGATCATTTTGAAAAGCTGAAACTGTGACTATCATACAAGTGGAAAATGTATCAGAGGTTTTATTGAATGCACTAATTAATGAGGAAACCAGTAACATGTTAGAACCAGCTCTCAGAATTCAAGACACGGCATTATACGGGAAATAAGGAATATTGAGGGAATTGAGAAGTGATGAAGCAAGTGCACCCCCAGGGCCATCAGCAGTGGCATTCCGCCAGACAAAGTTAGCTTGATTTCTATGGGCAGGAGTTGCCTGTATGACTGTCAGTTTTCTGTGAAGAAGCTCACACAGGAGGCAGAGATAACCCAGCCGGGGCCCTTCCCCCCGCCTTTCAGGAAGGTGCCCACGTGGGCCGGGCAGCAGGCCTCCTCCCGCTGCCTTAGGAGCAAAGGCTAGAAGCCAGGCCAGCCCGCGCTGTGGCCCAGGGCCTCCCTCCCAAGCCACTGTCCACCCCCATTACCTCCACAAGCAGCCTCAGTCTGATCTTCAACCCTCCTCCCGGGGAGAGGCTGCCTATCTGTACGGTCAGGCTGCAGAGTCTGGCAGACCGAGGTCTGAGTCCTGAGTGCCCTGTACTGGCGGCGTGATCTCAGAAAGCACCCGTTCCAGGCCTGAGTCCCATCGTCTACAGAATGAGTGGCAGACGCACACCCCCAACCCCCCCCCCCACCAGCCGGCTGCGAGGATAGAACGCAGTGCGCAGGGAGGCCCAGCCGGAGCCAGCTGGGCATCTGGTTAGTAGAGGAATGCCCCCCCCCAGCCCTCTTCCTGTGCCCCCACCTCCTCCACACACGCCAGGCCCGGCCTCTGGGGCCTCTGGGGCCTCAGCTCTGGCAGGAGCCACCCCCGAGGTGAACTCAGGGACACTGGCCTGCATGGGCCTCCCTCCTGTCCCCAAGGCATTTCTGGTTCCCAGGTTTCTCGGAAATAAAACCCAAAAGACCTTGCACAGCATGCATGCTCCCCTCGACTGGTGTGATGGTGTAGACACAGCTCCACCCGCACCTTCCTGAGCGTTCCAAGTTGCCCACCCAGCATCCATCCACCCTCCCCACCCCCAGTGCCCACAGCCCATGTCCTTGGAGCCAAGCTGCCCATACCCTCCTCTTCCAAGTAGGGCCATGGTTCATTTGTATCCATCACACATTCCTGCCGCTTGTACCTGTTGAAGGATGGACATGTAATCTAAGGGGTCCAGTCAGGGTGATTCCCTGTGTGGATTCCTGCCACCTTCCCTCTCCTTCTGGGCAGGATGGTGTTTGAATGTGAAGTCTGGAACTGGAGCAACTATTTTGTGCTCATGAGGCTGAACTGGATTTTGAATGAGGTTGACTCGGCAGTAGGCAGAGCTGGAAAGAAATCGGGGCACTGACTGCATTGTTGAGCCGCTGGAGGCCCCTGGAAGCCAGCCTGCTTGGAGACCTCCAGTGCCAAGAGCCAGCCCACCTCTCAGATAAGGCAGTCCCAGCTGGGGTTTCTGTTTCTTGCGGCCCAGTGCATCCTAACTGACGTACTTCCCCTTGGCTGCAGCGCCAGCTGTACCTGCTTTTATGGGTGCTTCGGGCATTGGGCAGCTATCTGTCTTATGTGTTTTGTATCATCAGTTCGTCCAGTCACTCTCTGCCCACCAGCTAGTGACGCATATGGCCAAGCCTCCAAAGACCCCAGAAGTGGTCACTGACCAGAAACAAGGCTTGGTCCAGGCACAATCCAAACAGAGGCTCGCGCTCATTCCTGTGCAGGTGGGAGCTGCTCTCAGGGCCCCAGGACCCAGCACCAGTGCAGTTGCCTGGCTGTCATCACGGCCCCTTTGTGGAGGACAGGGTGGATTGGCACAGACGGCAGGGGCCCGAGGGTCCCCCCTGGCTTTGGAGTCTCTGGAGTTTTCTCCTTTCCGAGTCCTCTAGAGCCTACCAGCTAAAACCTCCATCTCTTGGTAGGAGACACAGGAGGCTCAGGCTGGAGGTTTACGGAGCAGCAGAGCCACTGGTGGTGCCCTGGTCCCATGTCGTGAGTTCACAGGAGCTTTCCTCCCACAGCCGTCTTGTCCCCAGCCCAGGAGTGCTGGGCAGGCACTTGTGAAATACCCTGAAATGCACTTCATGGTTCTGGAAGCTTCAGTTGGTCTGCAATCACAAGTGGCGCTTATTAAAAATCTGTGCAGCCTCCCACATCAAACAAAATTAATCAGTAACAAGCGAGGTGCTATTAAGCCATTTCCCAACACGGTAACGCGGGGGAAGCTCTATCTGATTGGCCAGTCTGGGCAGCCTCTGGAATTCTCGCCGTTTATCTGTGTGCGGTGAGCTTGACACGAGGTGTTTGTCTGTGGCTGAGTCACGAGTGGTCTCGCTCCACCGGGCGTACCTCTCTGACCCGGCGGGCGTGCTGTGGGCCCCAGGCCCCGCCCCGAGCAGCAGCTCCTCTGCCCCGGCCCTTTCTTGCTCCGTATCACCTTTCCCAGGGGGACACCTCTCAGCCCAAAGGCTGAGCTCCCGTGTCTGTGGCTGCACACAGGCTTCTGCACCGTTATTCACCACACTGTTGCTGTTCCCTTCTGCAGGGGATGTTCCCACCCCAGGGATTGAACCCAGGTCTCCTGCATTGCAGACAGATTCTTTACCAGCTGAGCCACCAGCGAAGACTTATAATGACCTAAAAGCCCATTCATAGGGAATTGTTAAATAATAATAATAGGCCCATAAAATGAAATATGATTTTTAAAAGGAATGAAGAATCTAGGCTTGGCTTTGATCAACCTTCCCAGGTTGGAGGACATTATTTGTCAGAAGACATCAGCGTTGCCTTGGCGGCCGGGACAAAGGTGGCAGAGAAGTGGGGGGGCGGGGACCCCTCCGCAGACCCCTCCTCAGCAAGGCTCCACCTAGTGTCCAGGGCTGCCCACAGTGGGGTCCTCGCCACAGAAACCCCCAGAGACCTGCTCTGGGCGGACTGCTGGCCTGTGGTGCTGGGGACAGGGCTGGAGCTGGTGCACCAACGGGCCCAGGACATCTCCCCAGCCCTGACTCGTTCGTCCCGCAGACAGAGTCAGGACTCACCTGGGCCCGAGCCCCATTGCTCTCGCATGGCCCTGCCTCATGCCCCATCAGCCCCGCTCAGTCCTCCTCCCGGGCACGGCTGCCCCCCTTCAGCTTCACCTTCAGGAGGCTCGGGGTCCGACCACTGATCCCCACTGGCTGCAGCTGGGCCTCCTCCTCCCTGGGTTAGCACAGCACCTTAGCCTCCCCAGAGACCCAGCCAGAGCCAGAGCCAGACCCAGACCCTGGCCCCATGTGGCAACCCCCATCCAACTCCTCTGCAAATTAACCTTTTATTTTAGCATGTTTTTAGATTTACAGAAAAATTCTGAAGATGTTGCAGAGAGTTCCTGAACACCCAGCACAGTCTCCCTGTTACGAACACCTCGAGAGTGTTTCTGCCACAAACAATGAACTGATACCCCACACTGTTTTCTGATTTCATCAGTTTTCCTGCTGGGCTCCTTGCTGTTGCCAAACCTGCCTGGAGTGTGGGACCAGTCACTGTATCACCTGTTAATTCAATTATTTAATTTCTTTTTTAAGCATGTCCCAACCCCACTCTGGCCAGGCCAGGCAGCCTCAGGTGTGAGCTCTGAGGTCACGGCTTGCTTCCATGCTTGGCGCAGAGGACAGGGACACTCTGCTTTGGGGCTTGTCTGAGCCCCAGTCTGAGGCAGCTCGGCTCAGCCAGCCTGACTTTGGTCCTTCCAGCAGATGAGGTGGGGACAAGGTTTGGGCTGGAGCCCCAGGAACAGCCAGGTGTTTCTACCAGGCTGCCCGAGCGCGCTTTGTGGGCCAGGTGACTGACAGCATTTGCCTCTTGACCTCTGGGCACAGGCCTGCTGCTGCTCACCGGGACTCTCCAGGGGAAACACCACAAAGTGTGAAGTCAGCCATTCAGGTGTGCGAAGTCACCTGGGTTGGGTGGGAAGGGGGCCCCAGGCTTACCCCAGTCCTGCCCTGGAATAATCATTTCCCAGGGAAGAAAGCATGGTGCTCCTGAGGGTGCTGATGGCTCCAGGGGCAGGAAGAAGCAGCCTGCCTCCTAGGGAGGACGCTGGGCTCTGCATGGGCCCTGAGCCCGACCCCAAGCCCGGACCCCCGTGGAAAACAGTGCAGGCGGTGGGTCCCCAGGACGGCACCCACCTGAGGGCCCCGAGGGGTGGCCTGCCGCCCCGTAGGCTGGGACGTGCGTCTGCACCAATGGACAAGCCAGTGGTGCCTCTACGGGCCTGAGTCTGCCCACGGTGTGGCCCCGACTTTGGGGAGGTGCCGCCTGCAGGGGCGCCCGGGCAGCCTGCCCTGCCTCCAGCCCCTCCTCTAGAGCAGGGGTCCTGCTCCAGCCTGGGTCTCACCTGACAGGGGGACAGCAGTCGTTGGTTGCCTCAGGGGGTTCTCTCCCAGCAGGTTCCTGACTCTTGGGGGTGGAGCCAGAGCGAGCAAGGCCCTGGGGAGGGAGCAGAGGCCGGGGCTCCCGCCACCCACGCCTCCCACGCAGCGGGCCCGTGGGGCTTTGTCCTGAGGGCCCCCCGCAGCCTCGGCCTGGCGGCCCCCTCACCACCGCCAGGCCTCTGAAAGGCCTTTTCATTCCTGTGTGGACAGCACCACTGGCCTCATCAAAGAGCTTCTATGGAAAGTCATATTTTTCCCCAAACCAGAAAAGTTCAGGCTCAGAGCACAAACATTCAGCTCATTATTTAGAAATAACAAGTCCTCTGGGTCCTGGTATCAGATCAAAGCTCAGAAATTAAATTCTCCAGAAGAGGAGGAGGCTTGGGGTCAGCAGATTTGTGTTTGCTTATTTTTTTTCATTCGGCAGCTAAAAAAAGGGCCTCGAAATCTGCCTCGCGGTTTAGAAGTCTGGCTGGGGTTTCCAAGCAGCGAGGAGACGGCGTGCTCCTGGGCGTGGAGCTGGAAACACTCGGTGACAATGGAGACAACTTGGGAGCGGGTGATGTGTGGGTCTCCAGGAGCGCCCTGGGCCCGTGCCACCCCCGTCACACATGCGTGCAGACATGTGTGTGCACACAGGTGTCCACCTGCCTGCAGGAGCTAATGGGCACCCGGGCATCTGCACACAGGATGCACGCAGACCATGTCCTCACGTGTGTGCACACGGGGGCCCTCCGACGGGATGCACACATGCTCAGAGCAACAGCCATGGAGAGTCCAAGGCTGGGCTCTGTGCTGTCCCCAGGGGGCCAGGCTGGGGTGGCCTGAAACACCCACAGGCTGGGGAAAGCGGCGCTGTGACTCCCCTCCACACCTGCACTCAACGGGAGGGGCTGAGAGTGGGCAGGGCCGTTCAGAGACCACGGCTCCAGCCCCAGACCTGCTGGTGGCCGTGCGGGCCCCCAGGGGCGGGGGAGGCAGCCAGAGGACCGTCTGTGTTTGTGGTCAGCTCTGGGCTCTCTTTCCTTGCTGGCTGAGGGTCACGTCACCAGCGCTGATGGCCCAGCCCTGCGGGGATCCCGGCCTCACCACTCAGCAACCCCCAGGATGGAGCTCCCGGCAGGGCACTGATGAAGAGGTCCTGTAGGTGGACTCTGCCTGTGTCGGGAGCTTGGCACGGAATGGGACCAGACACAGGCACCCCGGGAGCTAACACTCGTCCACCAGCAAGGGTTTGTAGAAGGGGACACGGCGTCCAGTCTGATGCGAAAACCAGGGCTGGTGTCCCTTTAATGTTCTCCCAGAATCCCATCTCCAAGTTTAGCTCCAAACAGCAAGTAAAGGGGAAGAAATGGGAAACAGCTGGAAAGGCTGAAAACGTGACTCCCTTTTCCCCTCAAAATACGACAAAAATAGTGACATAGACAAGTTTGTTTTCTAGGCAATGTTATTTTAGGCAGTGTGTATTAATGGCATGAGAATTAGTGCAAATTAAGTAATTAGGCTCAGGCTGGCAGCTGGGCTGACAGGCACAGTGCTCCTGGGCGCCTGGAATGGCCAGAAGGTTGGGGGCGCTGGTCCCATCTGGGCGGGCTGTGCGGACCTGTGGTCCTCTGAGCATCGCCAGAGAAGGCCCCAAGACTGGCCGGACACCAGGCAGACCCGCAAGGCCAGGAGACCCGGGGCCTGCGCCTCCCAGAGCCTGCTCCCCTCGAGGTGTCCCGGGGTCACCTGCCGGACAGGAGACGGCCCCCCACCCTGCAGAGGTGACCAGCTGGGGAGCCCGGTTCCTGGAGATCGCTGGTTCCCGTCACGGACAAGGAAACTGAGGCTCAGAGGGGGAAGCTGAGTCCTGAGCCGCCGAACCGGGCCCACCCCATCTGCCTGCACACCTTCCCAGGTCTCAGGAGGGCAGGCCTTGGTGGGACCCAGCCCCCCACCAAGAGGCAAGAGTGGCGGCTTCTGAGCGTGTGCTGGCTGTTCGCAGCCTCTCCTGGGGTCCTTGGGGCGCTCCCAGCTGCACACTGCCCCGTCTCTGTGAGGCCATGGGGCCCAGGGCCAGCCCCTCCGCAGCTTGCTCCATTCAGTGGACACGGCTTGCAGGACGGGCTGGGGGACTTCAGAAGGGAAACGAGCTGTCAGGCACCTTTGGGTGACGCGCCTGGTAGCAGCCGTCATAGCAGCCAGCGTGCTGAGCCTCTGTGTCCCCCACTGTCACTCAGCCCTCTGCCCCCACCTGTGACCCCTGACTCTCCTTGAGGTCAAAAGTCTCTCCTCCCTGCTTCCCACTGCACCCCAGCAGAGCTGAGCAAACAGTGGGTGCTCAGACGGCACATGTGGCCTAGGCTGACCTAGGGATGCCTCTCCCTCCCTGCTCCCTGCCACCCCCAGCCCCCATCTTCCTGGGAGCCTCAAGGCGGCCTGACGGCACTCCGCCACCCAGGGGGGGGGCACAGGAAGCCCTCCCCCAGCACAGGGCCTCCGCCCGCCTCACCGGTCTCGCCCTGGGCTTGCTTCCGCGCTCCCAGGGGCTTCGGGAAGCATCTTGGGTAGCACAGGGGAGGACAGTCAAGGGCGTGGGAGACCCTGAGAGCCGCGGTCAGCCCTCAGTCCGTCCACAGCCGCAGGGGGACGGGGCCTCGAGACGGTCATTCTGGGCCCCGGCCTGTCACTGCCTGGAGGCTGCCCTGAAGGGTCACCAGCACCTATGGGTGCTCCAAGGGGTAAGCTCGGGGGTGAGGAGACAGAACACAGGTGTTAGTGGGGTCTGGTGCATGAGGTTGTAGGCAATCTTGAAGGTGAGACAAGGGGCTGTGTGGTAGGACCTCAGCAACGTTTGTTAAAGCAACAAACTCCACCATGGACAAAGGGTACCTTCTTCCCAGCTCCCGATACCTGCCTGCACCCCTATACCTGCCTGCACCCCTATACCTGTCTGCACTCCCATACCTGCTGCAGCCCCATACCTGCTTGCACCCCATACCTGCCTGCACCCCTATACCTGTCTGCACCCCTATACCTGTGTGCACCCATACCTGTCTGCACCCGCATACCTGCCAGCGCCCGTATACCTGTCTGTACCCCATGCTTGTCTGCACCCCATACATGTCTGCACCCCTGTACCTGGCACACAGGACGGGCTTAGCAAGGGAGTTAAATGAAGGCGATACGGCAGCATGCTCCAAGCTGGAGGACCAGGTGAGCCCCGACAGGCTCCAGGTTAGGGTTTTACAGAGGCCCAGGCTCCCGGGGTGTTGGCACACTGGGTGCTTAAGCAGCAGATGTTTGTTCAGAGGCCGGAGGTCATGGTGCGGGCGGAGCCAGCTCCCTCTGAGGCTGGAGGCAGCCTCTGGTCCAGGCCTGGCTCCTGTCCTGGCGATTGTGGCGTCTCAGGGCCCCCGCACGCGCGTCACGGGATCTCTGCTCCTTCGTCGTGTGGCCCCTGCCCAAGTCCCTTTTCTGAGAAGGACACCTGTCATGTGACGCAAGGCCAACTCCGCACCCAGGAAGACTTCACCCTGAGGTCCACAGCCACATCTCTGTGCGAAGACCCTATTTCTGAAGAAGGTCACGGCTGTAGACTGAATGTTTGTTTCCCCCCATTCACGTGTTAACTCCAACCGCCCAGTGTGATGGTGCTGGGGGGCTGCTCTGGTGCGATGAGGTCATGAGTGTGGGGCCCTCTGGATGAGATGAGTGCCCTCATACGAGGAGGCCCCAGAGAGCCCCTCAGGCCTTCGTCCACATAAGGACACGGCAAGGAAACGCCATCCACGACCCAGGATGCAGGGCCTCAGCAGAGTGGATGCTGCTGGAGCCTTGCCGGAGGTCCAGCTTCCAGACTGAGAAACACACATGCTGTTGGTAACGGCCCAGCCAGCAGTGTCCCGTCACAGGTGGACTAAGACAGTCACACTCCGAGTGCCAGGTGGACACTCTCCAACCCAATCAGGGGTCTCCACTGACAGTGCTGGGGGTGTTGCTGCACTCACGCTAAGAGGCCTCACAGGCCACAGCGAAGAGAACAGGGCCCTGAGGTCTAGGACACCTGCTGCCTGCGGGCAGCCCAGGGTGCCAACCCTCCAGCCTCGGAGCTGCTGCTCGCTGCTGGCCCAGCGCCTTCCCAGCTGTTCCTCCTGCCTCAGCCCCTCATAGCGGTGTCCCGCAGCATCCTGGCCTCCTTGGAGGTGAGCAAACACCCCTAACATAGAGCCCATGACTCCAGAAGTGATCCTCGCCTTGGTCTTCATCAACCTGGCTACTCTGCATCCAAAAGCTCGTGGGGAGAAAGGATCCCCGCTCCACCTGCCTCCCTAAGCAGAAGTTGTGTTTAGAGACCCCAGGTATGTCGAAGTCTGCACCATGCTGGCCCAGAGGCCAGGCAAGCGGACAGCCTGTCCTGCCTGTCTCACCACTCCCAAGCAGCCCGCAGCAGCAGGACAAGGCAGTGGAAAACTGTCAGGACCACTCTGCCCCCTCCCATGGAACCCCGCGGAAGTGAGGCCATGGTGCACCCGCCCTCAGGCTCCAGGGACACTGACTGGGTCCCCACTGCTCACGCTCACCCTCCCTGATCAGCAAGAGTTTCATTCTAGAAACCTGTTGCCGACGGGGGAGACTGGGTCACCTGCAGCCGTGGTGTGCAACTCCCTGGCCCCCGCCTGCCCCACCTCAACACTTGCTCTGGGTGCTTCTCACTAAGGGCTCCCCTGGCACCCGGCTCCCTGGCCCGGTCAGCCTTGACCAGTGGGAGAAACAGGCCTGGCAGTCGGGGGCGAGCCTGTCCCTGGCCCCAGCTGTGGAGCAGCTGAGCTCATTGGAAGCAGGCTGTGGCCTGAATGCCGCCCTTGTCTCCAGACTCGTCAATAGCCTCCAGAACCACCCGGTCTCCTATTGACTCAAGATAAGTTCCGGGAGGCCCAGAGCTGCCTTGTTTGGCCCTGTGTCCACCGGACAGGCCAGCTGGGCTTGGCAAGTCCCTGCAGCTGGGACCCAGCTCCGCACACCCCCGGGCCAGGCCCTGTCCTCGTCCCGCCCCCTGCCCCCATGAGCACACCTGTGTCTCCCCACAGCGCTGGTGCGGACACACCCGCGTCCACGGAGCTCCGTCCAGAAACAGGTGCTTAAGGTGACATCACGTCTCAGGGCAGAGGGCACCTAAGTCCGCTGGCTCTATCAGTGTTTACATTTCCAGCTCCACGCAGAGTCTAATCAGACTTCCGATGACACCTGCTGGTTTCTGGCCCTCTGCGCTCCCGGCCGTGGGTGGTGGCCCCACTGGTCTGGGAGTGCACCCTCCCTGTGGCCCGGGCAGCTGACAGGTGGGGGTCCAGGCTCCAAGATGGGGCGGAATCAGGTCTGGAGACAGGGCCCCCGAGCGGGCGCGGGGAGTGGGGGTCCGTGCAGGCCCCAAACCAGTGGGGGTGGGGGTCTCCCCTCAGTCTGCGCTTTGGACTCGTCCCCCTCCCCAGCCTCACCACACACATTCAGGGGCTCACCCAGCAGGAAAAGTACAGGAGCTCTTTCCAGAACATTCTTATGGGGAAAAAAAACCAGCTTGGCAGTCCAACACCCAGGCAGCAAGTACCGTATAAGTCAGGCCCGTGGGCAAGTCCCAGCTCTGCTGGTGAGGGCCCTGACCCCTGGGGCCCGCCAGGTCACCAGGGCGAGCGGGGCTTCATCCTGCTGCTGCTGCGGAAGCCCCGCTCCGTGTCAGTCACCTGTGCCCTTAAACAAAGCAGCAGCCCCAGAGGCTCCTCAGGCCCGCTGTGGCTTCTGAAGAAAGAGGGTCCTCCACTCTGTGCGGGGTGCCCTTACCCCCAGTGCCGCACCCCAGAGGCCAGACCTCAGAGAGGCGTCCCTGCAGCGTCCCAGCTTTATTGATGCATGAAGAGCAGGAGATAAATGCACCCAATGTCAGGACAAACAGACTGAAACCAGAGGGCCTGAGAGATAAGACAGGTCCAGACGGGCTGTGAGTGGGAGAGACTGTGCCCCACCCCCCCAGTCCACCCCCAACCCCAGGAGCAAAGGGCGGGGGGCGGGAGCTAGTCATCCCTAGCCGGCCCGTCCCAGATCAGACCAAGGCTCCACAAGGTCCCTCTCCAGTGACACCAGGGCCGGCCCGGGCCCAAACAGACCCTCATCCTGACCTCTGGACACACCCATCCAGGAGAGGTGCGTTTGCTAGGATGCCCACACGGCTGGCAGACAGTAGCCCGGGGCCATGGGCCCACGTCGGATGGTGGCAGATCCCTGGGGATGAGGTGTTGGTCTGCAGAGCCCCCGCGCCCAGGCTGAGCTGCATCGCTATCTTGTGGTTGCGCAGAGGGGAGGGTATGTTGACCCCTCCCTCAAGTGAAGTCTCCCCAGTTCCTCCGCTGGGTGCTGGGCCAGCTGACAGCAGGAGACATGTACCCTGCAGGACCCCAGGTCACTCCCAGCCCCGACAGAGGGCACATGGCAGGTGGGAGGCTGGTGGGGTGAAACCCACCGACCACTACAGCTGACCTGGGGTCTGACCTCGGGGTCCAGGCCATCCTGTCTGGGCTGGAAGAGGCCAAGCCGTCAGAGGGAGGCGGGCCGGGGTCCTCCCCTGGGGTCGCCGGGGCAGGAGAGCCCCCACTGAGGGGACCCCCAGAGCAGACTGGGAGTGGACAGCCCACAGGCCCTGGGGAGGGGCGCCGGGGTCCGGGCTGGGGAGCCAGAGGGGGGCTAGGCTGCCAGGTGGGTGCCTCACGCCAGGATCCAGCACCTCACAGGTATCATTTTCATGCCTTATGCTAATTAATTATATTTTTATAATATTATATATTGATAGCAATGATATGGTTGTATTTTTTGCCAAGAAAATGGTAACTCTTGATGGAAGGGACAAATAGCCAGGAAAAAAGGCTTACCAGGTTTCCACAGGGGGGCAGGGAAGAATAGTGACAAGGGCTCGGAACTCATCCAACCCCCAAAGGACAGAGGTCAGAGCAGTGAAGGCAGCCTAGACCCTGAGGCCTGGCTCATCCCTTGATTGAGGGACACAGAGGGAGGGCTGGGCCCTCCTGGGACGGGGCTTGTGTGTGTGTATGTGTGCACCATGTGTGTACCATGTGTGTGCACTGTGTGTGTACTGTGTGTGCACTGTGTGTGTACCATGTGTGTGCACTGTGTTCACCATGTGTGTACCATGTGTGCACTGTGTGTGTACCATGTGTGTGTACTGTGTGCGCCATGTGTGCACCATGTGTGCACCATATGTGTGCACCGTGTGTGCACCGTGTGTACCATGTGTGCACCATGTGTGTGCACTGTGTACCATGTGTGTGCACCGTGTGTGTACCATGTGTGCGCACCATGTGTGTACCATGTGTGCACCGTGTGTGTGCACCGTGTGTTTACCATGTGTGTGCACTGTGTGTGTACCATGTGTGCACTGTGTGTGTACAATGTGTGTGCACTGTGTGTGTACCGTGTGTGTGCACTGTGTGTGTGCACCGTGTGTTTACCATGTGTGTGCACCATGTGTGTACCATGTGTGCACTGTGTGTGTACCGTGTGTGTGCACTGTGTGTGTGCACCATGTGTGTGCACTGTGTGTACCATGTGTGTGCACTGTGTGTGTGCACCGTGTGTGTACCATGTGTGCACTGTGTGTGCACTGTGCACCATGTGTGTGCACCGTGTGTGTACCATGTGTGCACTGTGTGTGCACCATGTGTGTGCACCATGTGTGTACCATGTGTGTGTACTGTGTGCACCATGTGTGCACCGTATGTGTGCACCATGTGTGTACCTTGTGTGTACACCATATGTGTACCATGTGTGCAGTGTGTGTACCATGTATGTGCACTGTGTGCACCATGTGTGTGCCATGTGTGTGCTCTGTGTGTGTACCATGTGTGCACTGTGTGTACCATGTGTGTGTGCCGTGTGTGTGCCATGTGTGTGCACCATGTGTGTGTACCATGTGTGCACTGTGTGTGCACTGTGTGCACCATGTGTGTGCACCGTGTGTACCATGTGTGCACTGTGTGTGTACCATGTGTGTGCACTGTGTGCACCATGTGTGTACCATGTGTGCACTGTGTGTACCATGTGTGTGTACTGTGTGCACCATGTGTGCACCGTGTGTGCACCATATGTGTGCACTGTGTGTGTACCATGTGTGTGTACCATGTGTGCACCGTGTGTGCACCGTGTGTGTACCGTGTGTGCACCATGTGTGTGCACTGTGTACCATGTGTGTGCACCGTGTGTGTACCATGTGTGCACCGTGTGTGTGCACCGTGTGTTTACCATGTGTGTGCACTGTGTGTGTACCGTGTGTGTGCACTGTGTGTGTACCGTGTGTGTGCACCATGTGTTTACCATGTGTGTGCACCATGTGTGTACCATGTGTGCACTGTGTGTGTACCGTGTGTGTGCAACTGTGTGCACCATGTGTGTGCACTGTGTGTGTACCATGTGTGTGCACTGTGTGTGTGCACCGTGTGTGTACCATGTGTGCACTGTGTGTGCACTGTGTGCACCATGTGTGTGCACCGTGTGTGTGCCATGTGTGCACTGTGTGTGCACTGTGTGTGTACCATGTGTGTGCACCGTGTGTGTACCATGTGTGTGTACTGTGTGCACCATGTGTGCACCGTATGTGTGCACCATGTGTGTACCTTGTGTGTACACCATATGTGTACCATGTGTGCAGTGTGTGTGTACCATGTATGTGCACTGTGTGCACCATGTGTGTGCCATGTGTGTGCTCTGTGTGTGTACCATGTGTGTACCGTGTGTGCCATGTGTGTGCTCTGTGTGTGTACCATGTGTGCACTGTGTGTACCATGTGTGTGTGCCGTGTGTGTGCCATGTGTGTGCACCATGTGTGTGTACCATGTGTGCACTGTGTGTGCACTGTGTGCACCATGTGTGTGCACCGTGTGTGTACCATGTGTGCACTGTGTGTACCATGTGTGTGCACTGTGTGCACCATGTGTGTACCATGTGTGCACTGTGTGTGTACCATGTGTGTGTACTGTGTGCACCATGTGTGCACCGTGTTTGCACCATATGTGTGCACTGTGTGTGTACCGTGTGTGTGCACCGTGTGTTTACCATGTGTGTGCACCATGTGTGTACCATATGTGCACTGTGTGTGTACCGTGTGTGTGCAACTGTGTGCACCATGTGTGTGCACTGTGTGTGTACCATGTGTGTGCACTCTGTGTGTGTGCACCGTGTGTGTACCATGTGTGCACTGTGTGTGCACTGTGTGCACCATGTGTGTGCACTGTGTGTGTACCATGTGTGCACTGTGTGCACCATGTGTGCACCATGTGTGTGCACTGTGTGTGTACCATGTGTGTGCACCGTGTGTGTACCATGTGTGTGTACTGTGTGCACCATGTGTGCACCGTATGTGTGCACCATGTGTGTACCTTGTGTGTACACCATATGTGTACCTTGTGTGCAGTGTGTGTGTACCATGTATGTGCACTGTGTGTGCACCATGTGTGTGCTCTGTGTGTGTACCATGTGTGTGTACCGTGTGTGCCATGTGTGTGCTCTGTGTGTGTACCATGTGTGCACTGTGTGTACCATGTGTGTGTGCCGTGTGTGTGCCATGTGTGTGCTCTGTGTGTGCCATGTGTGTGCACCGTGTGTGTGTACCATGTGTGTGCACCGTGTGTGTACCATGTGTGTGCACCATGTGTGTACCATGTGTGTGTACTTTGTGCACCATGTGTGCACCGTATGTGTGCACCATGTGTGTACCTTGTGTGTACACCATATGTGTACCATGTGTGCACTGTGTGTGTACCATGTATGTGCACTGTGTGTGCACCATGTGTGTGCTCTGTGTGTACCATGTGTGTGTACCGTGTGTGCACCGTGTGTGCCATGTGTGTGCTCTGTGTGTACCATGTGTGTGTACCATGTATGTGCACTGTGTATGCACCATGTATGTGCACTGTGTGTGTACCGTGTGTGTGTGTGCCGTGTGTGTACCATGTGTGTGCAGAGAGTAAAGCTGTGTGCACCTCAGTGACATCTGAATATAAAAATTGTTACTATAATATTGCCTTCCTGGATTAATGTTCAATAAAAAAGCACTTTTCTAGGGCAAATTCTATTAATCCACTGTATTTAATCCTTGTCAATCACCTGAACTTGAAATCAAACAGCTTCCAATTACCTTTTTTTTTCATTTCACTAAAATTATATTCATAGAAATAAATTTTTTTCCATTTCAATTTTACCAAAAAATTATGATTTATTCATTGTTAATTGTTCATATCAGTTTTATGATTAGAACTTCTCGTGTGGGATCTATGGGGATCAGGAGAGACACCCAAGGGTGAGAGGCTTGCCCCCCTCCCAGCCTCAGAAAAAATATCCTCTTTTCCTGGGTCACAGTTTGCATGATTTACTCTTAACTTAGAGTCCAAAGCCAAATTTACCACAGGCAGTTTAGTTTGTACAAATTTTATTTTGTGTGGACACTTTCTACCATTCTGATTTAAAAGAATTGTATTCTTTTGTTTTTTAGCTAATCCAGGAGGAAATTGTGAGGAACTGTCTGTCTGTGAGAAAGAGAAGCTGGGAGGGTGTGCAGGAGGGCGGAGGCAGGTGGGGGGTGGTCTGGGGGGCGAGAAGGGGTGGAAGGTGTCGTGATGACAGGCGGCACATTCTCCGGGTCAGTGCGGATGGTCGCCGCCTTGCTTAGAGATGACCTTGACTCAGGGCTCAGGGTGGGAACCCAGGGCTAGACACTGACGCTTCTTGCCTGTGAGGGGTGAGGGGCTGCCAGGGTCAGGGGGGCATGGGAGGTGGACAGTGACCACAGGAGACCCCAGCCCGGACGCCCCAGCAGCTGAAGTCCGAGCAGCCGCTCTGAGGGGCTCCTGGACACCCCCCGCCCCCGGCCTGGAGGAGGTTTCTGCTGCGGCAGCTCCGTGGCCCCATCCCCAGGCCCTTCCCGAGTGCAGCGACTCGGATTCTAGGTCCATCAGCAGAGGGTCATGGAGCCCGCGCCCAGGGGGCCCTCCCCTGCCTCCTGTGTGGCTGAGGTCCTGCTGATCGGGAGCAGAGGAACCTTCCAATCCCTGTGCCGTGGACGCGGTCCTGAGGCATCCAGCCACACCTCTGCAGACCCGAGCTTCGTGGCAGCCCTTGAGATGGAGCAAAGCTGGAGGCACACAGGGCCCAGGCTGCCAGGAGGGAGCTCCCAGGACAGCAGGGTCCAGGCTAGAGGGCTTCCATTTAGGCTGCACAAGAAGCTTTGAAAGGTGGGAAGAGAAAGACATGGGTTCCGGGTCAGGGGACACACAGCCACAGGTGCCAGTCACCACCCAACGCGGACAGCCTCCGGCCAGTGTTCCAGCTCCCGGCCTGGCTGAGAAGAAGCTCACGTAGGGCCACTCTTCTGCCTCTATCCCCTGCCCTCTGGCCCCTGCCCTCTGTCCTCTGCTCCTTGCCCCCTGCCCCCTGCCCTCTGGCCCCTGCCCCTCCCCTGACCTCTGCCCTCTGCCCCTGCCCGCTGGCCCCTGCCCCCTGCCCTTGCCCTCTGCCCCCTGACCTCTGCCCCATGCCCCTCCCCTGACCTCTGCCCTCTGGCCCCTGCTCCTCCCCTGCCCCTCACTCCTCCCCGGCCCCCTGCCCTGTTCTCTGTGCTGCCCCCAGGCCCAGGCCCCCGTTTTGGAAGAACCTGGGTGACTCTGAACTGCACAAGGGCAGAAGGAGACAAGGAGGGACCCAGGGCGTGTGGCTGACGGCTCAGCTGCGCAGGACTAGAGACTCACTAGGGGTGCGGGCACGGCACCCGCAGGGAAAGCCCTCAGGAGGAGCACGAGACGCCAGCGAGCTCCTGAACATTCCTCCTGGGCGGACGTGAGGTGCCAGGAGTAATGCCAGGAGGGAGGAAAGGCCGCGTTTGGTCTCTGCGGTGTGTGTCTCCACGTGCCACGCACTCCCCAGGCCCTCCAAGCCCTGATGACCAGCCAGCCTGGGCGCTGGAGACGGAGGCCTGGGGCAAGGGGCCACGGCGAGTCCCATGTCTCCCCTCTGGACTGTGGAGGCCACAGGGGCCCCTCAGTGACCTGGAGGAGGGTCCTCTCGGGCCATCACAACCAGGCCCCGTCACCTTCAGCAGCACCGTGACCACCTTCAGCCCGGAGCCCGTGTGGGCAGACTTCCTGAGGCTCTGCCGTCTCTTCAGGCCCGGCCGGGCGCCCAGCCCTCCGCCCGCCTGTTCGCTCGGACCCTGACCACCTGCTCATGGGATCCGGCAGCAGCTGCATCACCAGGAAAACCTCTGTGGGGTGGGGATGGGGGTGACACCTGATCTGCTGCAGGAAACAGCTGCGGGGCCGCGGGGGCCGTGGTCGAAAGGGGCTTGAAGCAGATCAGTTCCTTTCTGTCTTGAAGTTCAGTTTTCCCAAACTTGTGAAATGAATCCTGCTCAGGGCAGATTGGGGGAAGGAGTCAGACCCCACGTGCAGCTTATTGCTGGGAAGCCCACGCGTGCCCCCAGGTGAAGACACGGGCGAGCTTCACCCCTTGGCTTCCGGCCCTGGGCTTCACGACAGAGCCCGCCTTGCTCTTCTGTGTCCCTTTATCTTGAGTGCACTCGCTCTGCCGGGTCTTGATTTCTCATCAGCGGCCTCTGGCCCTCGTGTCCCGGGACGCAGCCCCTCCGAGCTGAGTCCTTCCCAGCACCTGGGGCAGGCTGCTGTGCAAACAGCTCACACGCTGTTCATGCCTGAGTGTTACATTTGGGCTGTTTCCAGGTGTTTTTTTTTTTTTGCTTTATAAATAATACTGCTGTGGACATTCCTTCAAAACCCCCACGTCCTCGGCTTGGGGATTTCTCCGGGGCTGATGACGGGGCGGAAGGGCCATCCGGGGTGTGCTCACTGGGCTTTCCCAAGATACTGGTGCCAAGTGACCCCCGCCTGGCAGGGCGTGAGGGTTCCCGCACCCTCACGGCCGCTGGTCCGGCCACTGCTTAAACGCTTGCCAAGCTGCCGGGTGAGTCAGGATCTCGCATTGTGATCTTAACTCGCGTTTCCTGACTCCTAACGAGCTCCGATCTATCTGGGCTCCTCCTGCTGAGCTGCTGGCTGCCACGTTGGGTCAGTCACTCAGTTCCGCTGACTCCTGTTCGAGTTGGTGTTCCGTAGCCCGGCCTCCTTTTTTGGTTGAATGTACACAGGTTTCCTCCCACTCTGTGGTTTGTCTCTTCACTCCTTTTATGGGGCCTTTCGGTGAGACAAAATTTCTTAATTGGGTTAGAATTGATCAGTCTTTGCCTTTCCAGCTATTGTTTTGTAAATTGTATGAGAAGTCCACCCACAGACAGAAGTTGCAAAGATGTCTCTCAGTATCCTCTGAAACGCTCTCGTTTTGCGTCACATTTAGGAATTTGTCTACCAGGGTCATTTTTTAGTGTGAAACAGATCCTCACCCCCCCACATAACTCGGGGTTCATCTCTGTGTTCAGTGACCACTGGTCTCTGCAATCTTGGGGGCGAGGTCAGCCCTGTGACCTCCCCTTGTGGACCTGAGAAGGAAGGCTGACGTTGGGTCTGCTCAGCGCCTTCCTTGTGAGGACAGGGTGGCGGTTTCCGGCTCTGTGATTGCAGAACCAGAAGCTGGGCTCCGCTGTCCGGCGCCGGGGCTGCATGCGTGGCCTGTTTCTGAGCTCCCTGCTCGGCCGCCCGTTCTGCTCTGTCCCTGCAGAGGGGCCACCAGGCCATGAAGACGGAGCTCCACTCAGCTCGCTGTCAGAACCGCTCTGTCCCCTGTCCTTCAGGGGGCGGAGGTATTCTCAGCTCTTTGCATCTCAGCATAGATTTTTGAATAAATTTGCAATGATCCACCAAAAGTAAAAGAAGAGATTTAGGTTGGTATTATACAAAATCTGCAGATTCCTCTGGGGAGAACCGACTCTCAAGTCATGACTGCAGTGTTCCTTTAGTCTAATTACTCAGGTCTTGTGCATCTCTCAATTTTTTTAGATAAATTTCCTCTGCAAGAATCCTACGCATGTCTTTTTTTCTTATGCATTTCATACTTTTGTGTGAGGTGCTTTCTAAATCTCAGTCTGTCACTGGCCTCTAGAGAAGCAGCTAAGTTTTACATGTTGATTTTGAATGTAGCAAACTTCCTGGGTCTCTTACCAATTTTGAAAATTTATCTCCTTGTTCCTCTGCACTTGCTCCACACATGATCATGTCCTCTGAGAGCAGTGGAGGTTTTCTATTCTCCTAGCCGATCCTTATGCCTCTTATGTATTTTTCACACCCTGCAGCTTTTGTGGGGCCTCCATTCAGATGCTGCTGAGCGAAACGGGAGGTAGGAAATTCCACCTCCTTCCCAGGCTCAGAGTGAAAGCTATAAGGTTTCTTATGCATACAATTAAGGTTAAGGAACTTTCCTCTGTTCCTAATGGAAGTGTTTTTTTGGGAATGGATATTGAACAATATCAAACATTTTTCTTCATCTGTTGATGTGATCTTCCTCTTATATCTGTTGAGACAGAAGATTATATTGATTGGTTTTGTAGTATTAAACCACTATTTTATTTCTGGGATAAACACAACTTGGTCACAGTGTATTATCCCATTGCTCCATTGATTTCTTCAGGGCCTGTAATCTTTTCTTGGACTGCTCCTCACGAGTTTTGTTATCGAGAGTCTAATTGCTTCTGAAAGTGAGTCGAGGCTGTTTCCTTCTTTGCTGGGCTTGGAACAGTTGAGTGGCCTATTTGTTTCTTGAATATTTTTGCTAAAAATCATCAGTGAAGCCATTTGAAGCTGGAATTTCCTAAGTAAAAGAACTTTTGATTTTAAATGCTTGGGAGTAATAGATGAAGGTTCTCAAACATTGCTTGTGAGGGTGCAAATTGATAACAGTACTTCGGATAACAGTTCAGCAAGACAATCACACCCATTGAGACCAGCTCCAGAGCACACACACCTACCCAGACAAGTGTGAATCATGCCCACTTTACCCTGAGAGCCCGGTGCTAGAAACCGCCCACTGAGCCATCCACGGGGCTGTGGTTTATCCCCGGGATGGAATCGTGCACCAGCAAAGCAGACACACAACAGACTCACACGACATGAGTGGGTGTCACAGGCACGGAGCGGGGTGATGGGAGCAGATGCTGTGATCTCTCCCATGGGGGCTCGGGAGGGAGGAAAGCCAAGCGACGGAGTGGACGCCCGCGGGGCCGGGCCTGGGGCAGGTGTCAGGTGCTACCCACGGGTCCCCCTGGCCCATGATCCTCCCAGAGCACTAGCCTGGAAGCCAGAGCCGTGGTCATTCAGAGGCAGTGGTCCTGGGCGATGCTCCAGGTAGCTCTTGGGGGGTCTGGAAACACGAATGTCCCTGAAAACTCAACAGTGGGGACTTCACACTGATCCACTTTGCATCATCCCCTGGTGAGGGAGTGGATGCCAGGGGTCCTCTGGGTTGTCCCTGGGCTGCCCCTCAGCATGGGAAGGAGGCATTCTGGGCCTCATCTCACGGGTGGCCAGGGACACCTAGGCCCAGAAAGGAAAGGCTGCCCAGGGCAGTGGTCGGGTTGGACATCAAGGTGAGGGACGTGGGTCTCACAGCCCACAGTCAGATCAGAGTCTCTTGGGCAAGACTCCCAGTCATAGAGACACAGGGGACCCTGGCATCTGGGCCTGCAGAAAGAGAGCCTCTTGTCCGGCCCAGGGGCCACCTGCAGGCTCCCCACCCAGTCCCTTCTCTGCGTGTTCAGCAGAGCTTTGCCTCGTCCCTCAGCGGGCTCACGGGTGGGCTGCAACCAGCACCTTGGATGTCACTGGAGGCCAGGACAGGCAGAAGGACCCATCGGCCCCCAGCAGACTCCTGCTGTGGCCTCGGATGGCCCTGAGGGCATCAAGACTGGAGCGCCACCCCAGCCTCTGCGGCTGCCTCTGGGGTCTCCATGCACACCTGTGGCTCGGGGTCCAGATTCTCCTGGCGCCACTTGTACTGGGCCAGCTGGCCTTTACTTTCATGCAGCCACCACTCAGTCAGCTGGCTGTTTGTTCGATGGGGACACGGTTTCAGGACCCACAGGCACTGCCTCCTGCAAACTCTGAGCCTGGATTTACCCCAGGGAGCACCCTGAAATCCTCTCCCTCTTCTGTGGGCGACGCTAGCCTCCGCACACTTGGGTCTGTGGCTGGGACGTGTCCTGCCAGAGAGCAGAGGCGGGATGGTGATGGAGGGGGCTGGCGGGCAGGCACTGGGGAGGGGGACATTCCTCGACAACAGCAGGCATGGCGGCTCTGTGGAATTCCGGACGCGGCTGCGGCACAAGCCTGGTCTTGTGGGGACAGGCTGCCCCTCCCGGGGTTGACAGCCTCTCTGGGCGGCAGGTGGCCTCTTAGAGACGGGGGATCGGCCCTGCGGCCTGGGAGATTGATGGCATTCCTGGGGGCCCACCCCGCGCCCCGCTCGGACGCAGACCCAGATCCGGGGGCCAGCCCGCAAGCCTCGCGGAGCCGTGGACCATGGCAAGATGAGCCAGCCCTGGCTCTGGGCCGCAGAGATAAGACACCTACACAAACAAGGGCACAAAGACTGCTCTCACGGCCGCACCAGCTGCGTGCCAAGCCCTCAGCGGGCACTTTATGGCATGTTATCTGCTCTGCGCCCCACAACAGCCCTGCCAGGTGGGATTTTTGCTCCCATTAAACAGATAAGGAGACAGGGTTCCAAGAGGCGCGGGGGTGGCCAAGGTCATGAAGGTTATAAAGTAGCTGTGCCTGGATCCCACCCAGGCCCACCTGGACAGAGCCCACCCCGCTTTGCCAGAGTAATAAGCAGACCTTGTGTTCTGAAGCACCTAATCTGGAAAGCAGAGCTGCTTCCAGGGAAGGAGCAGGGGTAGACACACCTCGCCTCCTCCATCCGAGCCACCCGCAGAGGCAGGAGCCCGGGGCGGTGGGGAGAGCCCACGGGACGGAGGCCCCGGGTGCTGTGCGTTCCAAGGGAGGCAAGCAGGGTGCGCCCGGGTGAGCCCCGCGTCGGTGCGCCCAGGACCCTCATCGCCAACCAGCAGAACTCGAGCTTTGTTAGACGACATGGTCTCTGATGACAGAGAAGCTGAGAGCTGGGACCCACAAGATACACAGGAATCGGGGCAAGTGACAGAGTCCAGGGCAGCAGCACCTTCACCTCCAGCAGGAGGGTCTTCCCGGAAAACTGCACCACCCAGAGGACATGGCTCTGGATGCTGAGCGCCTGCCACGGTCCCCAGGCTGCGGCGGGGAAACAGGGCCCAAAACAAACCCAGAGAAGCGGTCCGAGCAGAGGAGCGGGGAGGAGACTGGGCTGGGAAACTTCTCCGCTGCCAGAGCAGACCGCCACCGTGACACCGCCCAGGCACCGCGGAGAGGGGCACCCGGTAAAGAAAGAACCATTGGAATAAAGACCTGATGGTAAAATGGAAGATGGGGGACGAGGTTGAAGAAAGCTCCCAGAAAGTAAGGCGGAAGGACAAAGCCGTGCAAAGTTAAAAGGATCCTAGAACCATGGACGACCAGAGGGCCCAGTACCCGAATAAGGGTTTAGAAAAAGAGACCAGAGTGAGAGCCGGCAGAGAACAGGCCACGGAGCTCGGGGACAAAGGGCCAGGTGGAGCCGTAGTGCAGGGGCACCGTTCGATGGCGCCCACGTGCCCACGATTGTGTGGGATCTGCGAGTCCTCAGAACCAACTGTGCCTCGAGGTTTTGGGCCAAAGTCACTGCAGCTGGGCCTCCACAGCAGCCACACCACTCAGCACATGACCAACCAGGATGCGACAGCCACGCCTGGCGTGACCCTCGCAGACAGTCTCACGCAGACACACCCAGCCACACACAGTGGGCCCCTGCCCTTGAGGGCAGCACACACAGCCTCACCGATGCACACAGCCCTGCCCTCTCTTCCTGAAACTTCCAGCTGTGGGCCTTCCTTTCCACACGCACAGTGACCCCTCAGCCACCCTCTGGTGGGCTTGTGACCTGTGTCAGGGTTTCTGCTCTTCCCGGGAACTGTGCAGGGATTGTCCCAGCCCCTGTGTGAGCATCGGAGTGACCCGAGGCCCAGGAAACATGCCCTCATGTAAACCGGACTGCCCTCTGGGTGGGCCCTGCTCACAATCCCCACGCTAGTGCAAGAGGGCACCTCTGGGCCGGCTCACCAGCCACATGTGCAGTCTCCTCAGGGGCTCAGACCAGACCGGAAACGGGGCGGGTGTGAGTCTCCAGACCACCTGGGAGGTGGGCCATCCCTCCCCCGGGCCCCTCCTGTGTCACTTTTTCCTTTCTATCACTGCCATGTGGCTGCTCCTCCATTGGCTGGGATGCTACTCTGCCAAGCACACTAGCGCCATCCTATCCTCTGAGTTCTGACTCCCACACACAAGTTTTAAGTGTTCAGATGGTCAGAACTGAGTCCCCTCTGTGGTTGCTGGGCTGCTTGGCTCATAAAACAGGCCAGCTGCCAACGAGCTTCAGGCCTGAGGCCTTTTCTCAGCCAGCAGCAGGGCCAGAGCTGGTCAGTGCAGGCTGGCCCTGCCATCCCATGTCCAGCGTGGGATGGGGAGTACCAGCCTCCTCCTCCAGTCCCGTTCCCTGAACCCCAGCCCCTTGGGAGTCTGCCCTCAGCCTGTGAGGTGAGCTTCCCAGTTCGGGCCCAAGTTGCTGGTTCGATTCCAGGAAGAATGCGAAGCTGAGGAGACAATGAGTGACCCTCCACTGCCTTCCTTCCTAGAAGACCCTGGGCAAGACACAGCGGCTCAGAAGGCAATCAGGACATTGAGGGGATGGCCCACCCTCACGCCCAGGTGACAACCTGGGTCCCCTCGGTGGGTGGGCAGGAACAGGCCCCTCAGCCCCACCCCTCGGGCTGGCCCAGGTACGTCCGGCAGGCTGCGCTGCAGGCCTCCTCCAGCCCACTGACTCCAGGGCGGGGGGGCGTGGCTCTCACTGCCCTTTGCAGAAAAGATTGCAAAGGGACCAAGCCGCTGGGCAACCGGGAGCCAACGCGAGATTTGAACTTGGGGAAGCAGACACGCCGCACCGGACGGCTGCCCCAATGCCTGTGACAGAGCCACCTCCCTGTCCTGGGTGTCGGCCAGCAGGTGCCCTGCTCTCCCGTGGAGGCCCCAGGAGCCCCGGGCCTGCACCCCAGAGCCCCCCGGCTCCTAGGCTCCCCTCAGGGTCTGTGTGTCCATGCCACCCACACCGGGGGGGAGACCCCAGAACCAGTGTCTGTCCCATCCGGGGGCAGCGCTGAGCAGAGAGCCTGAGCCTCGGGTTCCAGGCGCTCTGTTGCTGCCTTGCGGCGACCTTGGGCTGCCACGGCCCCTCCCTCAGCTCCCTCTTGTCCTTAGGTTCCCTGAGGGAGCCTCAGAACCACATCAGCTCCTGGAGGGAGGGCGCTTTTGAAATTGCTCCAGCTTGTGGATTTGGGGGCAGCGTCCCAAGAGCCTGGGGGCATGTGTGTGGTGTGGATGTGTTCATGTGTGCATGTGACCCTGTGCATGTGTGTGTACACAGCATCTGTGCGCTCATGTGCATGTGCGTGTAGGTGCCTCCATCCACGTGTGTATGCACACATGTGTGTGGAGGATACTCACTCAGCTCACCAGCCCCCAGCAGCCCTTACTTACAACTATACAAATCACTCTCTCCCTGCAGGTTCATTTGTCTGGAGACCAGCTCAGCGGCTGAAGAGCAGCCCACATGCTCCCACACTCAAAGAGAAAGTTTCTGCCCCAAGAAGGTGGAAGTTTTCCTTTTTCTCCTTGTTTGTCCAGAGACATCCACTGCACAACATTTTACTTTTGAGAAACCTCACAGTTACCAGCACTGCAAATTCAAGGGAGCAAGGTGTGGGGATGGGACAGCAGCTGCTAATTCAAGTTTTAGGGAGACTTCTCTCCATCACTGAGATTTTCTGGTCAAGGACCTGGGCCCTCCCTTGCATGGGATTGAGAGGGTCCCCAGAGCAAGTACATCCTCGCCCGCCAAAGCCGCTGGGCCCCCCAGAAGGCCGCGGGTGCAGAGTGCCCGCGTTTGCCCTGTCGTGGGCACACTCCACGCCGCTCACCCGCCCCCCCCCCCACCCCCCGCCCCTCAGAGCTGCTTGTGTGGGCCGAGAGGGTGTGTCCAGAAGGACATCTGGGCATATGGACCCCCGATGGGCATCGCCTCCTGCTCCTTTCACCAACGTGGTACCCCACCTGGCCCCCTACAGAGCCTGAGGGGCGTCTCTGGGCTGAGGGCCGACCCCCCATCCGGGGCCAAGAAGTCACAGCACCCTGCCTCCACCTGGCTGGACGCCTCCTCCACAGCCCCCAGCTGGGGCTCAGCCCAGACCCCAGGAAACTTTCTCAACCCAGCAAACCCCCCAGCCCCCACCTCCACCAGCTTTTTAATGGTTAACTAGAGTAATAAAAACAGACGATAATGTGGTTTTGATCCCTTATCAGAGTCACAGAGGCCTGTGAAGGCTGTGAATATGCCACTCGGGGACCCAGCCCGACCACCCTTTCATGTGCAGCCAAGCGGCTCAAAAGGGAGAGAGCTTTTCCAAACCAGAAGCCCTTCGCCAGTGCAAATTTCGCAGTAAAAATAGAATAGGAAATTCCTAATCTGCTGTTTCATGTGTGACAAGCGGTTTTGTGGCAGGACAGGGACCCGGGAATGCTGTCCCTGCACCCGCGGCCTGGCCACTTTCCCCAGGCGAGCACGTGCGTCCCTGAGGGCTTTGCGCTTTGCAGCCGGCCAGTGCAGCTTTACCGCGGGACCGGAGACTCCGGCTGGCCCATGGCCCTGCCATTCTGACCTGAGTCTGGAACCATGAACACTCCAACCCCCAAGCTCATGTCAGACCCCAGGGCCTCACTTCCCACAACACATCTCCCCCTGATGGTGTTCCAGCCCTACAAATGGGCAAGCTGGGTGCAGGGCCAGGGAACCCAAGGTCCACCTGCTGCTGGCAGCCTGGGGAAACCCCGGGGAGAGGAGCCTCAGGGCGCTCAGAGGGGGCACTTTTACGGGGACACCTGCTCTCACGTTGAGCTCTCTGAGTCTTAACAATGAGGGTGCATTTACCTCCAGTTGTTAAGAAAGCACAACCTTCTGATCATGTTCTCAAGTCCAGGAATGGTGAATATGCTTTACCGGAAAAAAAAATGTTCAGAAAAATAGCTCCAACCAATAGTTTCTGCGTTTCAGTGGCCTGGCCTCCTGTCTGAAGACACAAGAACAAAGGCAGGACCAAGTGAGTGAGTGAACAGATTAGCGAACAGCTCTCTCCTCTGGGAACACTGGGACGGGCCGGGGAGGACCCCGCTTGGCGTCTGGGGGCCGTGTGCACCTTCTGGTTCCTTTAGGGTGGGTTCTGGGGCCCCAGGGCCCACCTGGGGTTGGAGCAGCCCCAGGGCCCGCACGCCCTGTTCCTCTGAGAGAAGCGAGGACCCTCTCCGGGTTCAGCTCCTTCCTGCTCTGCTGATGTCCGTGCATCCCCCAGGTCACAGCAGGGCACCTGAGGACGCTGCGCAGGGCCCAGTGGTCCCCTCCAGCCCTCTGGGGCTGCCTGGGCCAGGAGCTGGGGCCTGCAGGCGGGAACAGGGCCACGGTCCCGGCCCTCAGGGGCCTCAGGATCTGGGGAGAGAGAAAGGCGTGGAAACGTCACCAGACTCAGGGTCTGGGCATCTCTTCCAGCCCTGATCCCAACCCACGAAGGTCGGCCAAAAGGCAAATGGCTGTCAGCAGGGTACCAGCAGGGCCCCTGGAGGGGAAGGGAGGATGGGCAGATCTTCCAGAGACGCAGCCGCGGGGACCTGGGTGTGTGCCATGGAGGGGCACGGGCCAAGGCTGTGGGGGCAGTGGGCACACCTCTAGCAGGGCAGAGGCCGCTGGCAGGGCCTCTGGACTTCCCATGCTGACTGGAGCTCCTCGTTTCGGGGCGAGGACGGGGCCTCCAGCTGGGGTGCACCTGGCGTGAGTGAAGGCTGGGAGAGGTGTGCACCCTGCAGGGATGTGCTGGCAGCCATTTGTGGGCTGTCTTGCCGTCCCACGCCTGGTCCTGCTCCCTCTGGAGATGAAGCCCACCTACAGGATTTGAAGGGAGGCCTGCAGGGCAGAAAACTGCAAAGGCACCCACCCGTGTCTGCACTGACTCCAGCCAGGCTGCTGGCCCCCACAAGGCTCCTGGTGGCCCTGGAGATGCTGTAAGGGCCCCACTGTAGCTGCAGAGCCTCTGGGAGTGAACCCAGTGAGACAGGCCCCCAGCCCCGCGGCTGGTCTGCTTTCGGCCAGCCGCCCTGCCAGTCGTGTGACCCCAGAGGCCCTCACCAGTCTGACCCTCGGCATCCAGACCCCAAGGTCCGTTTCTCTGCAAGGGGGCGGCTCCCACCTTCTGGGCAGTAAGATCCGAGCTCAGGGGCTCAGGACCCCAGGGCCTGGGGGATAGTCGCCCGCTCTTGAAGGATGGGACCTCCAAAGCTCACAGGGAGAGGGCAGCAAGACAGCCCATCTTTCAAACAGAGAACAGGACACAGGGAGGCAGGAAGGCTCAGAAAAGCCCCAAGTGGGCAACTCCTGGGGAGGCCCCAGCACTGAGGGAAGGCGCCCTGTGAAGGGACGGGCTCTGGCGCCCAGGCTGAACGTCCACCCTCAGTTCACGCCCAGGTCACGGGATCCTTCCGGGACCGTGGGTAACACTGCCAGGCGCAGGAGACATAGCCTCCTGGCCTGGGCCTGGGGGCAGGCCAGTGTGGAGGGGCTCAGAGCCCTGCAGGGAGGCGGGGGCAACTCCTGGAGTTGTGTTCTGACTCCCGTCCCTCCTTCCTTGGGTTCACCTCCTCAGGACTCTTCCCATGGCGGGAGCACTTCAAAGGGTCTCGGAGGTCAAAGAGGAGCTCGCCAGGCAGAGAGGCAGGAGGGGGGCCGGCGTGGGAACTGGGGCACTTTGCCCCAGGAGGGACTGACCACTGCGGGCCAGGAGGGAGCGTGCGGCTCTGGAATGCCCAGGGAGGGGGCTCTGCCCTGAGGGAGGCTGGCTGGTGTCTGCTGGGGGACGGGGATAGCTGAGGGGTGTGGGCCCTTCCCCCCTGCACCCTCCACACCCCCGGACAGCCCTCAGCTCAGCAGCAGCCAGGAGGAAGGACGGAAGCTGCAGGCAGGCAGCCGCTTGTTGCTCTAGGAGGGCAGTGCCTCACGCAAGTCAGGACACGCCGCTCAGCCAGCCTCAGCACCGCCCCTCCTCTGGATGCTCTCCACTGTCTCCCGCTGCAAGCTGGGTGCAGGCCCCTAGGAGAAGGGGTCCAGGAGCTGGGACTTAGGTTGCAGTCTCAGGCTGCTGGTGACCAGCCCAGTGCCTGTCCTGTAGGGGCGGTGGGACAGGTCTGCAGCTGGGAGGGCCTGGGACATGAGGATTGGACCCGAGGGAACCACCAGACCATGACAGAACATGAGGTACCAGCTCTCCCAGCAAGAACAGAAGGCTTGTAGAGACCAAGGTCCCTTCCTATGTCTGAGCCTCAGCATCCCTGTCTGAGCAATGGGCCCATAGCCTGTGACAAGGCTCACTTTATCGGAGATGCTGGATGTAGGTGTTCCCTGACATCTGTGTGGATGGATGAATGGATAGATCGGTGGATGGAAGAATAGGTGATGGGTGAGGATGGATGGATGGATGGATGGATGGATGGATGGATGGGTGATGGGCATATGGAGGGTGCGTGGAGGCTGGGTGGAGGTTGGGACATGGGTGGGTGGGTAGAGGGGGGGAGGACAGATGGGCAGAAGGTGGGTACATGGATGACCTGGTTCAGCAGAACATCAGAAAATATTGAGACGGGCCTGGCTGGAGACTGTGTGTCCGTCTGTGTGCATGGGACCAGAGGCCCCATGAGAAACAGAGCCAGGCTTTGCGGAGAGGGCTCTGTGTCAGGCACACCGTCTTCCACTGATGACGACAACACTGGTACTCTGGGACTGGAGGCAGCCTTGGCAAGGACAGCCGTGACCCCCTCAGTACCGGGGCCAGCACCGAGGCCTGCAGAAGCGAGGCCGTGGTCAGACAGGCCGGGCTGCAGGAAGAAGAGTCAGCTCAGCACCCTTCAGTCTGGCTGAGGACGCCTGTGAGTCGCCCTGGGGGCTGGCCCTACCCCTGTGCCACGAGCCTGGTTCCATTCTGTCTCTCGTGCCAGGCTCTGGTCAGCCCTGTAGAGTTTGTGGCAGTCTCTGTGACACTCGCTGGCTATCAGGGATCCTCTCCCAGTGACGTGTAGAAGTGGGGAGGGGGACCCGAGGCTGGCCTCCGGGGGTGGTCAGAGGGCCGCCTTGCCTGAGGGCCCTGCCTCTCTCAGCACCTCTGCTCCCGTGGCTTCTGCTGCCGGAGTCTCGGCCTTAAACGAGGCCCTGGCAATCCTTCCAGTTTCTGCGTCCATGACAGAGACCTGTTCCCATTGTCCCGAGCCCCTGGAGGCCTGATTGCACGGGTCATGGGTCTCCAGGCCACCTCTGAATGGGTGTCCTTGCGTTGGCTCTTTCCTGGGTCAGGCACAGCTTGAGTGGAGTTCCAGGCCCGAAGGGAAAAACAGCTCCGCCCCAGAGTCAGTGCCATCGAAAGGACAGTAAGGCAACGCCACGAGAGACTGCCTGCTCTTCAGTTCCGAGTGGAGGTGAAAAGGACAAACTCTTTAAAACACAAAGCATCAAACTCAACCGGGATGAAACAGATAATTTGAATGGTTCTATAACCAGAGAAGAAATTGTGTTGATTATTTAGAATTTTTTGTAAAAAAAAACGAATCTCCCAGATCCACTGGTTTCGCTGGAGAATTCTACCAAAAATTTGCAGAAGGAGCGACACCCATTTTATGCAATTTCTTCCAGAACATAGGCAGGAACACTTCCCAGCCCACTCCATGAAGCTGGCATGATCCTGATAGCAAAACAAGATGAAAACTATATGAAAAACAAACAAAAGCCACCACTGACCAATGTCTCTCATGAACTTAAGTCCAAAAATCCTCCATAAAATAAAAGCAAATTGAATCCAACAATGTGTAAAAAGATTTAGACACCAAAACCCAGTGGGATCTATTCCAAGTTTGCAAGTCTATTCAATGTAGAAAAACCTAGAATGTAATTCACTCCATCAACAAGGTGAAAAAGAAACATGATGTCATGATATCAACCAGTGCAGAAAATGCCTTTGACCAAATGCCACACCATTCATAACAGAAACCCCAGGTAGACTGGAGATGGGGTGGATTTCTTCAGCTGGAAAATGAGACAGGATTTTTTCTCAAGGTTGGAGATGACCCCACACACCAGGAAATATTAGCTACTTCTAGTTAGTAAACAAACAAGCAGTCCTCATTTTTGAGCACCTACTATGCTCAGGTGTCATCCAGGACACTTAAGATAAACGTATCCCAGGAGGGAAACTCTCCGGATTTGCAGGAGAGGACGCTGATCGATGTGCTGAGAGGCACGCATCTGCGGGCCCATACTGACCCAGGAGGGGCCCACAAGCTGTTCCCTGTGGTCGGCACAGCCCTGGGCCCTGGGGGCACCCAGGTGGTCCCCCACTTCTCCTCAGTCGGCCTCCACTCCCGATGCTGGAACCGGGGCTGAGCCTGCCCCAGGGGTCCTCCCGAGAGCACTCGGGCCCTGTGATGGGAACCGGGGGGCCCTAGCCGGGAAGCGGAGGGATGGATGGGCTGGGATCCTGGCAGCTGGGGCGTTCGACCGTCTGCGGGCACGCGGATGGCGGGGAAGCCGCATCACAGGGCCGTGGCTGTCCTCTGCCCGCTGGCCCGGCCCAGCCCACCGGCTCCTCTGAGCAGGGAGCCCCTCGCTCACACACGTGCCGTGTCTCAGTAATTGGGGTGAGGGGGGGACAGGACGCGGTGCCCTGTGACAATACCCTACGAGCGGCACGGGATGAGCTGTCTGCAGCTCTTCTTCCTGGTATGCTGGAGGTGCCGCGCCGACAGTAATTAAGGTCTTCGGGTGCCAGCCTCTCCCACGCTGGCCTCAAACGACCCCTGTAGCCACTGACTTCCTTTCCCATGGGCATCTGGGCCTGAGGCCTCTGGAAGGCTGGGCCTGGAGGTGGGGGGCAAGTGTCCTGCAGCCTCAGCTTTGAGCACATCATGTGGACGGGTTGGTTCTGGACGATGGAAGAGGAGCCTTGGGGCTCATCCCCTCCCCACTGCCCTCCCACCTTCAAGCCAAGAGCCCGATGCCCACAATACCGGGGGACTCAGGAGGGCAGCTAGAGGGTCTGCATGACACAGAGCTGGGGGGAGGGGCAGAGGGTAGAGACAGGGGTGCAGGGGGAGACGGGGGGCGCTCACCTGACCTCCAGGGACCCTGGTGAATCTGCCTGAGGCTGCCGTCGGGCCCTGCCACTCCGTACGGGGCCGCCCTCATCTGGCCCACAAGGACCCAGAAACTTCAGGGTCTTGTTATGCCAGATGTCCGAATCCCCGAGTGGGAAGAGAGAAGGCCTCCAAGGCAATGCAACTTGCAGAAAGGGAAGTTTATTGCTGACTCAAGTCAGGGCTCCTGCCGCATCCAATGCAGTGGTGCGGGGTCAGAAAGCCCTGAGCCCAAGCTGTTACACAAATTTATAGGGTGAGCACACGCCGTTGGTAGTTGGTTTAAGCGGATTGGTTACAAGTTTGTAAAGCAATTTCATTGGTCTAACACACTCAAAACTTTCACGCACGTGGAACTTTCCCGGGGGTTTCCGCCCCATTCCTAATTGGCAAACAGCGGTCAGTGTTAAGCTGATCCAGGTGGCCTGATAATCTTACCACCCAGAAGTAGGAAGGCCTACTCCTAATCTAAGCTGCCTGCCATGGCGTTACTTCTGCTCACCTCACAGGTCTCAGCCCGGCTCGGCACCCAGAGCCGGTGTCCAGAAAGCCTCAGGCCTGGGGGTGGGAAGAGGGGCTGCAGCCCTGGCTTTCCGGGGACCATCTTCCCCTCTCAGCCAGTCTCCCTCCAAGGGCCATCAGAAATGGATGGTGTTGTTGCTGGGGCCTCCCTCTCTCAAGACCCATGGCTGCAGAGAGGGGACTTTGAATCCTTCACCTCCATGTCAGCCAGAAGGCGACAGCTTGTCCACCACACGCCCCTCCCAGCGGCCTGGTCCCACTGTTTGGAGGGAACAAACAGGGCCCTAGGGCTCAGATGGGTCCTCTGCCCCTTTGAGACCCTCGTCTCAGACCCCCATTTAAGAGTGACCCCCACCAGGAGGCTGGAGCCGAGGCTGCCAGAGCCCGGTAAGGCTCTCGTGCAGCAGAAAGCGAGTCGGAGCCGCTGGCTTGGGTGCCCGTCATGCAGCAGCGGTGCTGGGTGACTCACCTGTCCCTCGGGCTTGGAGCTGAGGCCCAGGTCCCTTCACTGGCATGCTGGTTTCTCAGCTGGGGAGGCTCAGTGGCGCAGGTCCCAAGACCCTACCCGCGGTCACCTCCCACACCTGGCCTGGCACCTTCCTGGCCTGCGGACGCCCCTTGCACGCTGATACAGGAGGGCAGCCGCCTGACCTTGGCGCACCGTGGCGGCCCAGGCACGGACATGGCCCTGCCATCCTGGAGGACGGGCATGAGGCAGGGGAGATGGTCCCTGCTGGGACGCAAGCACCGGGCTTCAGGCAGGGAAGACACGCACTGCAGCCCCAGCCTTCGGATCTGCCCCATTTGCAGCCCACTGCCTCTCAGAGCCCCGCGGGGCCGCCGTGCCAGCCTTCACTGTCTCCACAGGCTTGCCGAGGCCCCGTCCACCCGGCTTTGCCCAGAAAGCCCTGCTCCCCCTCCCCTCCTCAGGAGCCCCCGGAGCACCTCTGTCCTCGACACCAACGTGTCTGGGGCCGCGTTGCTCAGCCGCTGTCTGTGGGTTTAGTGGCTGCGGCCACCGCCACCTCCCCACCCCGGCTCCTGAACCTCCTGAGAGCAGAAGCAGTCTCTCCTTGGCTGCCCTGTAACCTTGGTGATAAACTCAGGACGCCCAGTAAATATCGCCAGGCGCACAGATGCACAGCTGGTGGGCCGCGGGGAGTGCCGTGGTCTGATCGGCGTTTCTGAAAGAAGTCCTGCAGGAAGGAAACCACAGAGACTGCAGCGAGGTCGGAAGCAGCTGAGGGCCCTGGGGGGTGGTTCTTAGGGCAGGGAAGTCAATGCACAAAGGGTGAACTCGTCTGAGCACCAGAAACGTAAGACACCAAGTGAGGACCGAAGGTGACCGCAAGCGGCCATCAGTGAGAGCGAAGCGATGTTGGCTCGATGGTGAGCGTGCATGCAGGATGAGAGTGACATCTGGGGACAGTGTGTGTCTGGTGGGGGTTTATAGGGGCTCCTGTTCTTTCTGCTCAGATTCCTGTCGACTTAAAGCTGCTCTAAAAAAATGAAGTCTGTCAGTTTTTAAAAAATCTCTCAGAAAGCCCAGCGAGACGACTCTGTCCCCACAGATGGTCACAGCGAACGCAGATGGTGGCGGACATCGCTGCTGACGCGGACAGTGTGTGCTCTGGCCGTCGGGCGAGGGCTCGGGCCGGGGCCCCGGGGAGACTGGTTCCCACAGACGCATGTGGAGGGGTGCACACACACGTGTCCAGGCATGTGCCTGTCACACCAGAAACAGCCCAGCACCCAGGAGGCACACATGTGTCGTGGGCTTTCCTACAGCACAGACCGCACTGTGAGGGGCGGAAGGTCAAGACGAGGCATGGTGGGAGATTCCTGCGGCTGGAGCAGGGGCGGGGGGCCCACCAGGGTCACCCCCGTGTCAGCCCCGCATTCAGCCCCGAGGAGGCACCTGGGACCAGCTGCTCCAGCTCTGCCCACCTGCCCCCTCCCCCGCCCCGCCCCTCCCCCCTCATCCCCTCCCCCCTCCTCATCCCCCTCCCCTCCTGCCCCTCCCCCCTCCTCATCCCCCTCCCCTCCTCCCCCTCCCCCTCCAGTCCCCTCCCCATCTTCTTCTCCCTCATCGTCTCCTCCTCTCCATCGCCCCCCCGCCCCCCCCAAGAGCATGGCAAAGGCCAGTGGTTTCTCTAGGGAATGGCCTAACTGGGCAAGGACTTTTTGAACCAGACTCCAGAGTGGAATTTTTTTCTCTCAAAATAGAGAATTGGCTGTCCAGGAGTTAAAGATAGAATTCTGTGGCAAGGCCAAGGTCTGAGTGCCTGTCCCAGCTGGCAGAGAGAAGGCTGGGGAGGCCTGGCCGCCGCTGCTCTGGGGGCCTGTGGCTGGCTCTGAGTCACGTGGCATGCACCCCCATCCCTCACCGCCCCCCCCCCCACCGTTGGCTGGGGCCAGCTTTGAATCAGGACTCAGCAGGAGACACCTGTCCTGCAAGGGAGTGAGGGCCGGGTCATTTTCCATGGAGGGTTTCTGGAGGGCTTCCTGGAGGAGGGGACCACGTGGAAACAACAAACACGCTGGTAAGCAGGAACCTGCCAGCAGCTCAGGACCTGGAGTTCAGAAAGCCTGCGGCCAGTGCCGGGCGCTCAGCTTGGAGCCAGCAGCAACCGGACATCAGCTCTGAGCATTGCATCTGTGGACAGTGAGGACCCACTTCCAGCAGTGGGGTGAGGAGGGTGCAGGGTGGGTGCAGAGGAGTGTCAGGCCAGGGGGAGAGCCCACCGAGGTGGAACCCCAGCCAAGAGGGCGTCCAGCAGGGAACACGGAGTTTAGGGCACTGGGGAACGATGGGCCAGAGCAGGGCTCCCCACACGCCCATCCCGAGGGAGCGTGGTGGGTCTGGCCCTTCACCAGGTGGCCTGTCCCTAGGCTGGGTCACACCTGGCCTGGGCGGAAGCTCAGGCCACGGGAGGCTCAGGACCAGACTAGAGTCCACGGGGACTTCTAGCTGCCACCGCAAGTAAGAACAGATCCTCCCCTCAGGAAGCCCAGGTGTGTACTCACTGCAGTGGAATGCATGCACACACACGTGTGTGTGTGTGTGTGTGTGTGTGTGTGTGTGTGAGAGAGAGAGAGAGAGAGAGAGACATGGTGCATCCCCTCCAGGGGCCTGGATGGAGGCTGGCTCCTGGAGGCTGGGTGGCCCACCCTGTGCCCTGCACCTTCCTGGGCTGTGGCCCCGGGACCTGGGGCCCCCAGGCTGCACCCCACGGGGCCCGGGCCCCCCTGCCGGGACTGACCCACCCCCTGGCCACTTCTTCCTACAGAGCCACATGGCCTCCAGTGCCAGGCGGGGAGGGCCCCAGGCCCCGAGGGCCGGCTGGGTGGTGGTGGGAGGGGCGGCCCCCACCTCCCCACCTGTTTGCCGCAGGCACTGCCTTCCCAGCAAGTGTGCCGCCTGGACCCCTTGGCTGGGCGTCTGAGGGCCCCCAGCGCCCCGCCTTCATTCCAGGGGTGGGGGCAGGAGGAGGGCTGGCCCATGTGGCCTTCGTAGGCAGGTCCCCAGGAAGCTGCACCACCCCCCGCCCCGACACAGCGTCCTGACCTCAGCGTCAGCCTCCCCAGGGGCTGGGGGGCCGCCCTAGCCCTCTGTCCTGCGGAGCCTCTCAGGCCACAGAGCGCACTGTCTGTGCGGTGGGAAAACCCGAGGCTCAGAGACCATCAGCGGCTGCTCGGGGCTACTCTGGCAGGAGAGAAAGGACTCAAGCCCAGGCCTTGCTATCCAATCCCTTGGGCTCAGCAGTGGCCTCGTGGCAGGGGCAAGGCCTGATAGCCCAGGATGCCATGTGAGGGCACAGGGCATGTACCTGAGGGGCAGAGGAGTGAGGCGGGGCCATGGGCACCTACCCTGGGACAAACGAGTGAGGCGGGGCCATGGGTGCCGAAGAGCCCTGTGAGCCAAGGGCCTTGGGGCGAAGGCTCCCCGCAGCCCAACCGGGACCTGGCCACTTGTTTCCCATCCGGACTAGACCCTGAGGCCACTCTGGCCGGCCAGGCCCACCTGGCCGGGAAGGCAGAGGCAGTGAAGGTGTGAGTAAAGGTGTGACCCCCATCCCAGAGCCGCTTCTCAACCCACACCTGGGGAGACGCCAAGGCCTGAGTAGCCTCTCTAAGCTGTGAATGCTCCTGGGCCGACAGGCAGGGGTCCAGCCGCGAACCTCCAAGGTCAGGGTCAGCAGCAGATGCTCCCGCCCCATCCAGAAGGCCGGGTTAGGTGGCCTCCAGATCACGTGCTGCTCTAGTCACTAGGTCGTGTCTGAGGTTCACGACCCCGTGCACTGTAGCCCGCCAGGCTCCTCTGTCCCTGGGGCTCTCCAGGCAGGAACACTGCAATGGGTGGCCACTTCCTTCTCCTGGTCAGGACCGTGTTTGCAAATCACAGCCCCAAGGTTAACAGATTTACACCTATTTTGTCAAAAAAACTTTGACGGGAACACAGCCTTGTCAGTCATACAGCCCGTAAAGCCTAAATATTTCCTGTCTGCCTGGGGAGCAAAATGTGAACTAATTAAGAAGTGATGAGTTTTACGTATTGATTCACTTTCAAAAAACAAATTTACTGAGGTGTCGTTTTCATACAATGAACTGCACATACTTTAAGTGTAAAACTGGTAAGTGACCTCTGTGTATGTATACTGTTTGTACATAAACATATCTGTGAAACCACCCCCACAATAAACTCACAGATAGGCTATCGCCCCACATTAGTCCACATTTCCTAGGGTCTATGCAAATGGAATCATGTGATGAGAAGCTTCTCCTTCTGGCTCCTTTCGCTCCAACTGGGCTAATCCACAGAAGCCCCAGCTTCCTTGAGGCTGCCGCCTGCTCTGTACCTTTGCCCTTTCTCTTTCACCTTGCCTGTGTTGTAGAATCTGAAGTGTACATCCAATGGATCTCTCTGTATTTATCCTTCTCAGATCCTTACTGTTATTTATCAACTTCAGAAAGTTTTCAGCCATTGTTTCTTCCAATAGTTTCCTTCTCTCCTAGTACTCCTGCTCCGCATGTGCTGTTTGCTGAATGGTGTCCCACATTCCTCCATGGCTGTGTTCATTTTTCTCATTGCTTTTTTTTTCTTTTATTCGGGTTACACAATTGGTATTCATCTATCTTTGAGTTCACTGACTCTTTCTTCTGCCAGCTCAGATCTGCTGTGGGGCCTCTCTGGTGAATTATTCATTTTGGTTATCATACTTTCAGCTTGCAACTTCAGTTGGTTCTTTTTGATATTTCTACCTTCTCTGATAGTCTGTATTTTTTAAGTCATTATCACCATGCCTTCCTTTAAGTCCTTCAACATGGTTTCCTTTACTTCTTTGAACGTGTTAGTGGTAGTTTCCTGAACGTCTTAGATATTGCTAAGTACAATATCTAGGCTTCCTCCAGGACAGTCCCCTCTCTGTCACTGCAGAGGGTGCAGATTCAGCTTGCTCACAGCCTAGAAGACCACCAAGGATGATTCGGGTTTCATCCAGGAGCTCTCTGAGTGTATTTTTCCATAATCTGCCCATTACATTTCTGGCTTGTCTGCCTCTGTTGGTATCACACAAATCTGCTGCTAGCTGATTACTCTATTGTTTTCAGTGACATCCTGGAGCATAAACTGCTCTATCAGTTCAGTTCAGTTCAGTCACTCAGTTGTGTCCAACTCTTTGCGACCCCATGAATCGTAGCACGCCAGGCCTCCCTGTCCATCTGTCCATCACCAACTCCCGGAGTTTACTCAAACTCATGTCCACTGAGTCGGTGATGCCATCCAGCCATCTCATCCTCTGTTGTCCCCTTCTCCTCCTGCCCCCAATCCCTCCCAGCACCAGGGTCTTTTCCAATGAGTCAACACTTCACATGAGGTGGCCAAAGTACTGGACTTTCAGCTTCAGCGTCAGTCTTTCCAATGAACACCCAGGACTGATCTCCTTTAGGATGGACTGGTTGGATCTCTTTGCAGTCCAAGGAACTCTCAAGAGTCT